GAAATGAAGCGAGGAACCTAATTTTGCAACCATTCTTGGGTGGCGCGTGCTGAGTGCGATGGTGCTGAGTCCTGTTGGAATGACTAAGGTCTGCGGCCAAAATGTTTGCGTGCCCACGGCTTAAATACACACTCCAGAATAATTTCGCCATAATTTTCGGCATTTATTCTGATGCCTCGGTCTATTAATATGAGCGGGGACGACCATGGCCGGCGCTTGAGTTCTGGTGGTCAACCGAAGGTACAAATTTTTAGCTAACCTCTTTGGCAAGTAAACACGATCATTTTGGTTGTTTACAAAATGCTGGACAACGAATGTTTTCTCATCGGAGAAAACCAAATTCGGCAGTTCACCACTTTCGGCCAAACGAAGCAACTCTTTAGCTCTTTTGAGTCCATTTTCTTTCTGTTGCGGTGCAAGTTCTTGCAATTTTTGGAATTTCAATGGTTTTACCCCGAGCTCATTTTTCAATATTTGGCGAATGGAATATTGAGATATGTTCAGCTCATGAGCCATTTTCGGCCTGCGACACTGGTTTCGATCAAGTCGGTTCTTTACTTTTCGAACCATTTCTGCTGGTGTTGCTGTTTTCTTCCGTCCACTTCCTTGACGTCGGGCTACGCTACCAGTATTACGATAAAGAGCGATGGTACGAGACACAAAAGATTTATTCACATTTAAATGCTGGAGTGCTCTAATGATTTTCCAGCCAAATATAAAGACATCATACTATCACGCTTGAATTCCATTACAAATAACTTTTTTTCTGGAAAATTCTCATCAAATTGCTTGTAAAACGCTTGTAAACAGCTGTCGGACGAGTGGCTTAGAAATGACAGCAGTCTGAAGTTGTTTGCTGTTTTTTCATCTTATCCTGTAGCCATATGGCTGAGGGTATAAAAATTTTGTCAAACTAAACAAATTTGAGTACGAGAAGGTTCTATTTTTTCTGCCAGATTTTCTCTAAACTTCATAACACGTCTATATTACTTCTTATGGTGAGGATCCATTAAAAAATCAAAAATTGTATATCATTTACTCAAAAGGTGACATGACTCATAAAATGAGTCTTTGGACATCGGAATATAAGTAAACAAAATTCAAGTCGTGTACTAAAAGTTAAATATTTTTGTAGAATTTTTATAATGTAAAAATTTTGTATTATACCATCAGATCAATAATAGAGCGATTTTAAAAAATAGTCATATAATGATTACCTGGACTGTTTAGTATTTGTAAATGGCTACCTTTACTTCAATCCTGGCTATTTAAATAATTTGAAATGACTCTAAAATTATTTTTGTAAAAGCTGTTAAAATAAATTATTTTTGTAAAAGCTCCAATCGATTTAGAACAATCCTTAGAAGCACTCTTTGACTGTAAATAGTGGATTTTTAGTTTACATAATAATTTTCCGACTTATTTCGAAAATAGAAATGTTTATGACATCGAATTCAAATACAATTCACAGACATGTTGCCAGTAACATAAACATTCCCGATTTGTTCATTTCTTTATTTCTTGGAATGCAAAGAATTGCCACAGCAAATAATTGCTCCTTTCATTCATTTATTTGTTTGCATAAATATGTATTTATGTAGGACACCATTCGACCACATCAACTATCAGTTAATCGCATACAAACAACAGCAAAAAGAAAGGAATCGTGTCGTTATATTATTAATACCCTGTAACCATGCAATTATCGGTTGACGTACGCGAAACGGAAAAGAAAACAACCGAGTTTTTTTTCCCCGTTTCCACTCGGAGTCCTTGGGGCCAAATTGGCAAGTCAGCCGACAACACCAGCACAACCGACATTAAGTTCGTTCGTTTATAAACATGTCAACTCACATGGCACCTACAAGCCCACTTATAGTGTATATGATCATGTGTATACATGTGTGTATGTGTGTGGTAGACAGACGTCTATGTCAAGGTTACCAACCAACCAACCACCACTCACTCACACGCCGTTTACGGTGGGTGTGAAAAAAAAAACTAATTCAAAGGAAAATGTTGTTTTCTCATGATATAACTGCATATTTCTTTTAGTGATTTTAATTGTTTTAAGTAGCTTGAGTTTTTATTTACAAAATGTGTGTGTGTAGTTGTACTGTGGGATAGTCAGTTTTTAGAGAGATATTAAAATCAAAGGCAAATAGAAGAACTAAAGATAAAAGTTGATCAAAAAATTATTTCTTTATTTGGGAACATTGATGCAGATATTTTCTTGATATATGATGTAAATAGAGATTTGTTTTCTTAGGAGACTTATAGTGAAATTTGATAAAGAAAATGTTTGTCTTTGAACACATTCTTCTAAAATTATCCTTTGTAGAAGAACTTCGCACAAACTCACACAAAGTAAGGCTTTAGGACTAACGGTGAGAATATATAAAACGCTTTTATGACTGGAAGCCAGCCGATGACTTAGGCTTCTTCGGAAAAGAAACAATTAAAAAAGCTGTAAATTCGGCTGGGCCGAACTTTGAATAAACTCTACCATTTGGAACGAATTCGGGAATTTTCAAAAATATAAAATCATAAAAATACCGAATGTAGATGTTATATAGGCAACTTTTGTCATAAGCCATTACAATATTCAAATAAGAAACTTAAAAAAATCGGTGAATTATGTACTTAAAATCACCAAAATAACGAATATAGGGAGGTACCATTTTATGGGGGCCATACCAAGACGTGGATCTGCACAGACAATTTTCTGTCATAGGCTGTAGTATCCATTACGAACTTCAAACTCTAAACTTGAAACAATTCCGGTGAGTAATGTCGCTAAAATCATCAAAATACCGAATATCGGAAGGTACCGTTATATGGGGGCTATACGAAGGTGTGGACCTGCACTGACAATTTTCTACCTTAGGTTGTAGTATCCATTACGAATTTCAAACACGAAATTTTAAACAATTCCGGTGAATAATGTAGCTAAAATAATCAAAATACAGAATATCGGGAGGTACCGTTATAATGGGGCTATACGAAGGTGTGGACCTGCACTGACAATTTTCTGTCATAAGCTGTAGAATCTATTATGAACTTCAAACACCAAATTTGAAACAATTCGGGTGAATGATGTCGCTAAAATCATCAAAATACCGAATAGGGGCTATAAAATAGAATATAGGGGCTATACGAAGACGTGAACCTGCACAGACAATTTTCTGTCATAGGCTGTAGTACCCATTACGAACTTCAAATACCAAATTTGAAATTTTTCGGGCGAATAATGTCGCTTAAATCACCAAAAAATCGGAAAAAGGAGGTACCATTATGGTCCCATTTTCAATACCAAAAGTCCTGAAGACATAATACACATTTGAGTAAAATTTTATCATCCTACTTCATTCGTTCGGAAGCTAGAGTGATTTCCACAGACGGGCAGACGGATAGACGGGCGGACATCGCTAAATTGACATAGAATGGGGGTTATACGATTCGTGGACCTATGTAAGCAATTCTCTTCCAGACGGTAAAGTACTTAGAAAAAAGCCCCAGTGTGGATTTGCAAAAAATTCCATTGGAAAATGTGGCTAAAATGAAAAAAGTACCGAATATCGGGGGTACCGTTGTATAGGGGCTATAGATATCGTGAACCTATGTAAACAATTCTTTTCCAGACGGTAAAGTGCTCAGAAAGAACTCCTTGTGGCGATTTTCAAACATTTCCATTGTAAAATGTGGCTAAAATGATCCAAATACCAAATATCGGTGGGTACCGTTGTATGGGAGCTATACGATACCGATCTATAGCGCACCTTCGAACTTGACCTACCTGCAGACAAAAGACTGATCTGTGCAAAATTGTAGCTTCCTATCTTTATTCGGTTTGACTCTGGCGTGATTACAACAGACGGACGGACGGACAGGGCTAAATCCTCTTAGAATTTTACGCTGATCAAGAATACATACACTTGGTCGGGTCTAAAATTATTATTTCGAGAAGTTTCAAAAAGAATGACGAACTTAATATACCCTCCATACTGTTACCTCCGAACTGTTAGAATGAATCTACAGTTTTAAGTTGGACTTTTCGCTGACAAAATTTTGAATTAAAAATGTTGTCAAACTGAACAAATTTTGCAATTTCAGTACTAAATAAATCTGTAGAATATTTTGACTTGCTACGATCCTGGTTTAACGGAGTTTTTTAACCATAATTAGAACGAGACTTTTTGAACTGACCTGAGTGTTAAAATTTTCTTCCAAAATAATGATCGTGTTTTTATCTGCAATATTGCGGAAGATATTATACACCTAAAATCAATATGTTCCAAGGAATCTTAATCCGATAGAGTGTTTACTTGCCTTCTCTATTTGGGTTACTTTGCGATTTTTAGCTCTACTTTCATAATATGCTGGATTTCCCCTGTAATTATTGACCAAAATTCATTTTATCCTATAAAAATAAAATGGGAATATTTCATACTCCAAAAAAGAGATTCATATATATATTTCATCAAGAAACACTTTTTAAAAATATTACATTGTTTTACAATTGCTTTTAGACACAAAAACTTTTAATGCCACTAACGGAATTCGTCAATTTTAAAGCTTTCTCCACATTTAATCATTATAGACACCAAGCGGGCATTATTGACACCATCATTCTAAGATTCAAAATACATATATATGTACATAACTTAACCATAAAATAGAAATTTAATTGAACTGCTAGGCTTAAAGTAGAACCAAATATTGCTTTCATAATTGGCTCCTACAAGGCCAATGAAATTTGGATCTTCATTAAAACAAATAATTGCTGTAAAGTAAATTGAAATCTGTTCTTTAGTTTAAAATTGTTTTATTTTGTTATTTAGTAAAAAAAAAATGGCTGGCTGCTTCCTTTACCAGTTTTTGCTAGTATTTCAAATTGTAATTTTCTCAAAAAACCTTGCTCCTCCCAAAACCATTTAAATACAATAATAAACAAATAAACCAACTTCTACTACTACAACTACAATTTTTCAAATTTTTAGGCCTCAAAAATCAAGGATCATTTTACCGATAAATCGTTTCGTTATCCCGTCATGTTGCTTGGCAAAAATAAGGATCTAACTGTAGCGGCCACAGGGAACTCGAAAAAAAGATTTTCCAAATACGATAAAGTAAATATTTTTTTGTTGTTTTGATATAATACACAAGCGAACATTTTACATACCAAACAAAATTACTAAATCATTCCTTTATCCATGGATTTAGTTGGCATAAATGTTTAAGACTTTGCATTGTTGATTGGTCCTCATACTGTGTAACCCCATAATCTTTGTTTTAAAATCGAATTTCCAAATATTTATTTTTCTGGATTTTTCTTATATTTTTTAATTTGTATTACACTTATTTATTTTATTTAATTGTAACTATAAACAATCTGCAATTTTTAACATCTTTAGATTGATCACAAAACAGCTGATTTTCAATCAATGGATAATACTGGACAATTCTTACTGAACAAAAATGTCTAGAAGGAATTGCAAACTCTCTCTTACTGAACTTTTGTATCATCGGAAATTATTTTGAAATAATTTTTATTTCAATTTTTATTTTTAAACACTTATAGATCTCCAATTGTAAACAAAATATCAATTTTTATAAAACATATATATTTCACAAAACAACACTCTTTTTCAGAAATACTGAGAAAAACCCCATTTTTATGATAGCCAAAGAATTGGTGCCGAAGTTTATCATTTTTTGTGATTGTAGAAAAAACATAGTTTTTTTAAATATTTAAAAAGAGAAACAGTAACTTCTCCCAATTTATTATAACAAAAAAACCTGTAAAAGTTTTAAATTTATAAAACTAGATTTTTGGGCTAAGGGATAGATCCCAAATGTTTGGTATTATTTGAGTAGCGAATTAACTCGCTCGAAGTGATAATACTCCTCCGCGTATTCTTATATTCAACACTTACAAATAAAACAAAAAATGAGGTTTATACATCTTATAAAACCCGTGCTCCACAAGTACTCTCTCGCTAGCGAATAGTTTTCACTCGCGAGTAAAATCGAACAAATCGGAGCTTTGGTAAAAGCTTGCTCACTGGGGAATTTGAATGTGAAGTTTAATGAGATTTCACAGAAGTTTAATGAGATTTCAACATAGTAACTAAAACAAGTAAAAAAGCTTTAAATTCGGCTGGGTCGAACTTTGAATACCCTCCACCATTTAGAACGAATTTAGCTATTTTCAAAAAAAAAAATCCGTTAAAAATTCTGTTAAAATCTTAAAAATACCGACGTCGGGCTGAATAGGCAACATTTGTCATAAGCCATTACAATATTCAAATGCGAAACTTGAAAAAAAAAAATCGGTGAATTACGTAGCTAAAATCATCAAAATATCAAATATAGGGAGGTACCGTTATATGGGCGCTATACCAAATCGTGGACCTGCATACACAATTTTCTGCCTGGCTATAGTACCCATTATGAACTTCAAATACCAAATTTGAAAAAATTCCGGTGAATAATGTCGACAAAAAAACATTAAAATATCGAATACCGGCAGGTATACGAAGACGTGGACCTGCAAAGGCTGTCATAGGCTGGAGTATCCATTACGAACTTCAAATACCAAATTTCAAACATTTCAAACATTTTCTGGGAGGTACCATTATATGGGGGCCATACCAGGTACTAAAAGTCCTGCAGACATAATATACATGTGGGTAAATTTTTATCAACCCACTTCATTTCGTTCGGAAGCTAGAGTGATTTCCACAAACGAACAGACGGATAGACGCACAGACGAGGGGACATGACAAACTTAATATACCCTCCATACTATATATTGCGGGTAAACGCTAATATATGGTAAACGGTAAGTTATTACAGTTTTTTGAGACAGCAATCTGAAAAAATTAAACCAATAGGACTTTCCTTGAAATTGCTATTTGAAAACAAGTCAACCAGTAAAAAAAGTCTTAAAGTCGGGCGTAGACGACTTTATAATACGCTAAACCACTTTGCATATTTAGCAGAGCTTCACATAACAAATAAAAGTTTTTATGGGGAATTTGTGAGAATTAAACCATAGTTATAATTTAAAGTTCAAAGGAACTAATATATGAGAGGAATATCCTCCTTCGATTCGATTTCTATTAAATTTGCCGAGTCATTTGTGCCTTTTCAATCCGGGCTTGTATTACCCATTTGCTGCACATTCAACTTGAAATCAGATAAAGAAATATATTGGAGCTATATTCAAATCTGAACCGATCTCAATAAAATTTGGCAAAGGTATTTCTAAGCTGTATTTGTTATATTTCCCCAAATATTGTTGTTACAGAGTGCATTTACGGCTGCGGAGGACAAAAATAACAAATTTGGCATACTTATTTTCAGGCCTAATTTGGTCCTATGTGCAAAATTCCATGCTGTTCGGGCTGATATTACACGTTTGGTACACAATAAAAAGCAAATCGAACGAAGATATATCTGGGAGCTATATCTAAATTTTAACCGATTATCTCTAATCTCGTCCTTGGGCCAAATAAATGACAATAAATGCTACCTGTACTTTGCTTACAAAAACATATGGACAAACGGACGTACGGATATGCATAAATCGACTCAGAATGTGATTCTATGCAGATCATCAAAAGGAGCTAGGAGTCTATCTTATAGTTCCAGCTTATAATAACAGCTTCAACATTTGGAAGGAACTTGAAAAATGTAAAATCTGTTGGAAAATACCACTAAAATTATTAATATTTCGAGTATTTTATGGGCGCTACACAAAAAATGAACCTCTCTAGAAAATTATCTACCAAGGTAGATAATTACGAATATTTCGAACTCCAAATTTCAAATAGTTCCGGTGAAAAATGTGGCTAAAATCATCTAAATGAGAAATAGAGGGAAGAATCGTTATATGTGGTCTAAACGAAGATGTGGACTTGAAGAGACAATTTCCTTTCATAAGAGGTCCATTACGAACTCCAAATACCAAATTTGAAGCAATTCCGGTGAAAACTGTAACACATGTCATCAAAATACCGAATATCGGGAGGTTCAGTTCTATGCGAGGAATAGAAAACTACCAATTTACAGAAAATTCAGGTTAAAATTGCGACTAAAACAGTTAAAAAAGCAGTTAAGGTTGGGCGGTGCGAAAAAAATGCTTCTAAAAATCATCAAAATACCGAATATTGTTTGGCACAGTTATATGGAGACTATACGAAATACTGAGCATGTATTTAATTAACATTTAGCTGCCATAAAAATCCTATTACCAACTCCAAATCCTAATTTTAAGATATTTCCATTGGTGGATAAATGTAAATTGTATAGGCAATTTTTCTGTAAGAGGAAGTGGTACCCATTACCAGGAATGTACACAGGAATGCCTTCCGAAACTATTTTTTATAACCACCACATAGTACACAGGGTATATTAAGTTCGTCATTTCGTTTGGAACTCATCAAAATGCACGGTATCGATATCCTATAGTACTTTACCCCCTAGAAGAGAATTGTCTATATAGGTCCACGATATCGTAAATCCCCCATAGGGTTTACGATTTTTCACATGGAATTGTATAAAATTCCACACCAGGAGTTCCTTCTGAGTACTTTACCCCCTGCAAGAGTATTGTCTATATAGGTACACGTATTTCCCCCATATATAACGGTACCTTCCGATATTCCGTATTTTGATGATTGCATCCACGTGGCTAAAATCTGAAAAATACCGAATTTCACAAGGTATCATTATATTGAGGATATACCTTCATAGGTATGGGTAGTACGTCACGTCTAATTGACGTTTAATCTTCCTAATTCTACTATGATTATATTAAAAATCTATCTACAAGCAATAAATACCGTTGTATGGGGGTTATTTTACTTACATTAAAATGTTTTCAGAGGGAGTGTTGACCTTGCGATAGCTTTTCAATAATCTTTTTAATGATTATTTCTAAAATTTTCTTGAAGGTATTAAAACATTTTATCAGTAAGAAAATTTGCTCAACAACTAAAATAGCAATTATTTACAATTTTAATTTAATCATTTCCCTCTAACATTTATTTGGAAATTCGATTTGTAATTCTTATCATTAAACTTATATTAGAATTTAATTATCTCTCTCTATGTATGTCCTTGGTTACCCAACATCTTGAAGCACTTCATCGCATTGAGAAATTTCACAATATTTAACTTCCTATTGGTGTTCGTTCCTTCTGTGTTTACATCCTGTGGTTTCAATATCCATTCATTGAATAACTACAATGTTGTAGGAAAGAGAAGACCCCATGTTGCATGTTTCCTGAAGTGTTCATTAATTTCTTAGTTGTTGTTATTGTTAGTTTTAATTGTTATTAAAACATTAATTTATTTAATGGTCTTTTATTGTTGTAGAATAATCCCTCCCTCCCTCACTCAAGTGCGTATATCCTATTAAGTTTTCTTCTTTTCTATCCCCCACTACCACCACGACCACCACCAACGTTACTTGAATGGCATTTATTAATTGAATTGAAAAGTAATTTAATTGCAATTTTATTCTCGTTATTTTGTTTTTTTTTTTTCTTTGTTTATTTTTCTGCCTTTTGTTTGCATTTTATCTTGAATCCGGTTAGTACATCAACGAAACACATCTACCACTAATTCCGGATGAGGCAATACAATCACTATCGGAAAGTGATATGCTGAAAGTGGAGAGGCGCATGGAGAGAAGGCGTAAATTTCTGGCGGAGAAATGTTCCGAGCTGGGATTGGATGTGGTGGGTGAGTACACATAAAACAACATATTGCAATGAGAGCAAATAATTACTTTGAGAATAATGAAAATAATGAATAGAGCTTAAATGGGATATTTGCTTTGGAAGTCTACTTTTATATAAAACTAAATTACCGAGAAGCTGATAAGATTCTAATTAATTTTATTGAATTTGAAAATGAAGGAGATTGAGAAAGGGGGTACCACTTAAGCCACTTGATGACATATACATTTTTCGTGGTATAGGAACTTTTTTTGCATTTAAATTTAAAACTTATAACATATTATATTTTAAAAATTTTGAAGGTATGTTTTGGTTCTGCCTTTGGGTAAATATAGTAAGAACATTATTTTTGGCAAGATCGGAATATTTTGAAGTGTGGCATTTTAAGTTGTTGTTATAGCGGCTCGTCTTAATGTGTATTTATACCTTCCACCAAAATAAATAGGGGGTATTTAAAATTTCTCATCCTATATATTCTTGATCACCATAAAATTCTAAATCATTTGAATTGATTTCGGGAGGGACCAACTAGGTAAAATTCTTTTCTATTCTAATATGCCAAAAAATAATTCATGATATATCAAGTAAATTTTTGAGGCAATGTTACAAAAAAGAGAAAATATTTCCTATTTTTTGATTTTTCTTTGGCCTTTTGACTTTATCGGTCCACGATATCGTATAGTCCCCATATATAAAGGTACCTCCCGATATTCGGTATTTCGATGACTGTATCCACATTTTTCAATGGAATTATCTGAAATTCCACACCAGGAGTTCCTTCTGAGTACTTTACCCCCTGAAAGAGTATTGTCTATATAGGTACACGATATCGTATATCCCCCATAATATATCGTATATATCCTATAATAAAAAATAAAACGCTACCTCTCTATATTCGGCATTTTGATGATTTACCTATATTTTTCAATGAAATTGTCTATAAATCCATACAAGAAAATTTTCCTAAGTGCTTTACCCCCTGGAAGAGAAATGTCTACATAGATCCACGATATTGTATGGCCCAAATACTACGGTATCCCCCGATATTCGATATTTTGACAGTTTTAGGGACATTATTCACAGGAGTACATATAACTGTACCTCCCTATATTCTGTATTTTGATGATTTTAGCGACATTATTCACCGGAGTTGTTTCAAATTTCTTATTTAGAGCTCGTAATAGGAACTACAGTTTATGAAAGAAAAATGTCTATGCAGGTCTAGGTCTTCGTATAGGCCCCAGTATCAGTATCTGCCTATATTAGGTATTTTGACAATTTTAGGTACAATATTCCCCGAAAATTTTTGAAATGTTCGTATTTGAAGTTCCTAATAGGTAATAGTTCCTATTGGCAGAAAATTGTCTGTGCAGGTCCAGGTCTTCGTATAGCCCCGATACCTCTCAATATTCGGTATTTTGATGATTTTAGCGACATTATTCGCCTGAGTTGTTTCAAATTTCGTATTTAGAGTTCATAATGGGAACTACAGTCTATGAGAAAAAATGGTCTATGCAGGTCCAGGTCTTCTTATAGGCTCCATATATAGGCACAATATTAACTGAAATTGTTTGAAATTTCGTATTTGAAGTTCCTAAACCCGCATAGCCCCCAATATTAAGACTATATTCGGATATAATGGAACGAAACTTAGCACTTGTTTTTTTGTCAACTTGTGAATTTTCATACAAAACTTGCGTTTTCATATATATATATATATATATATATATATATATATATATATATATATATATATATATATATATTTGTATCCGTGAAAAATCTCAACCATCAGCCATAAGTTACTTTGTTACCTATAAATGTATGTACATATGTAACTGCACAATGTTCGCAGCAGCTGCAATTCAATAATATAATTAACTGCCTCTGGGGTACAGGTTAAATGTTCCCATAGCCCTAGTTGCCGATACGAGAACATGATAGCATCGGAAATACATGCACGCAGGCAGACACACAGACAAACCGATTCAATTTACTCGGTTTGCATACGCCTGAGTGTACGGAACGCTTGTTGGGGACAAGTTTAATGTGTCAATAATGGAGGATATTGAATTTGCAAACGAGCATCCTTGCTTACATTTTACATATTTACACAGTGTCGTTACAACGACACATACGAGTATTCACACACACACACACTTGTCCTTGCCTACAGTCCACATCGTTGCAAGGCATAGTTTTGTTTTTGTTGCAGAGATAAAAAAAAACTACAAAACTGTAACAACGTCGTCGTCGCCATCGTCATATTGGCCTTATGCAAATATCCTGTTCATTTGAATCCGCAAAAGGATTTATGAATGCGAGCCTAAAGTATGTGTAGCAATGTGTTTGCCTTGCCACAATTATGTACAAGAGTTTGTTCAGGTATGCGGAACAAGTATGTGAACGAATGTGTTACATCATCATGCAAATTGAGAGAACTAACCTATATCCGCCATGCAATGAATGCGAATGAAGAAGATACTTCCTTATTCGCATACAATGGAAACATGCATATGTATATGTACATTTATTAGCAAGCACACACATACGGCCAGATGTACAAATGAAATATTAATAAAGTATTTAATGTGGTGTGACACAAATCCGTTGCTTTTATCCCGAACGGAAAGTGCCGTGACCCATTAAAGCTGTGATATTGATTTCTTTTTTTAAGAGTATTGTTACATTTTTAGAGCAGGAGAGACAGTGATTACTTGCGTATAATTAAATTCAATATCACACTTCACCAAAAGTTTCATTTGGTAAGATCGGTGAAGGTACCTCCCATGTCCACATTTCCCACCGAATTAGGTCGGAAGAGTAAGCTAGAAACTACTTTCCATTAGAAAATATGGTCAAGACTTTCGAATTAACTTAAGTCAGGAAATACCTGTATATGGATACTAATAAATTGTTGAAAAAAACAGTAATTTCGGTCGGGCCGAACTTTGAATACCCTCTACCGTTTGGAAGAACTTTGGAGATTTAAAAAAAAACGTACGGAAAAGTCAAAAGTCGGGCGGTCCGACTATACAGGATGAGATAAAAAACTGCAACAAAGTCAAACGCCATAATTTTTACATTTTTTTTTTAATTTTATTGAATGAAAGCAAACAATTTCGGAAATACCATCAAATTTTAGAATAAATTTAGATTTGTTCCAATTGATCACCTTTGCAGTATTTTGGCCCATTCCCGGCGAATCGCTTGCTTGAGGTGAACGACACTTTGGTATTTTTTAGTGCCAACCTTGCTTTCCAAAATACTCCAGACACAATAGTCCAACGGATTGGTATCCGGAGATTATGGTGGCGATTGTGCGCTGGAAATGAAGCGAGGAACATTTTTTAACCATTCATGGGTGGCGCGTGCTGAGTCCTGTTGGAATGTCCAAGGTCTGCGGAGGGCTTTAATACACCCTGAATAAATATTTTCGCGATAATATTCGGTATTTATTCTGATGCCACGGTCGATTAATACGAGCGAAGAGAGACCATCGGCTGTTATGGCGGCCCACACCATCACCATGTCCGGCGCTTGAGTTCTGGTGGCCAACCGAGGGTGCACATTTCCAGTTGACCTCTTTTTGGCAAGTAAACACGATCATTTTGTTTGTTTGTTTACAAACTGCAGGACAATGAATGTTTTCTCATCGGAGAAAACCAATTTCGGCAGTTCACCACTTTCTCCCAAGCGAAGCAACTCTTTAGCTCCTTTGGGTCTATTTTCTTTCTGTTGCGGTGTAAGTTATTGCACTTTTTTGGAATTTCAATGGCTTTACCCCGAGCTCAGTTTTCATTATTTGCCGAATGGAATATTGCGATATGTTCAGCTCACGAGCCATTTATCGGCCACTGCGACGCGAGTTTCGACCAAGTCGCTTATTTACTTTTCGAACCATTTTTGCTCATGTTGCTGTTTTCTTCCGTCCACTCCCTTGACGTTGGGCTACGCTACCAGTATCACGATAACTAGTGATGGTACGAGACACAAAAGATTTATTCACATCTAAATGCTGGAGTGCTCTAACGATAGCCACTTTTGGTTTTCAAATATAAAGAAATCGCACTATCACGAATAACTTTTTTACTGGATAATTCTCACCAAAATGCTTTTTTACGCTTGTAAACAATATAATGTCACTGAAATAATTTTAACAGCTGTCGGACAAGTGCCTTAGAAGTGACAGCAGTCTGAAGTTGGTTGCAGTTTTTTCATCTCACCATGTATACTTTGAAGGGTGTAAAAAAGTTTATAATGGGTGTTTAACCGCCTAAAAAAATTGTTGATATTGATCCTAATTTTTACTTTGTATATATCTTGGCGTTGGGTATCAAAAGTTCGGCCTGGTCGAAATTACTACTTTCTTACTTATTAGTGGCCTGTTCCAGAACCTGCAAGAATCTACTATTTTTGCAATTTTTATTTCGATATCATAAAGGGAAAATCTGTTATCGTAGTAAAAACTTTTACATTCTTGCAGTTCTGGAACATAATCTAATCTAATCGTATTCTAATGTTTTTTTTATAATTAAAAAAAAAGAATTTTTTGCACAGTGTAATCTTTTTTTCTTTTGCAGGAAATGATTCATGGCACAAACCAAATCCATGGGAATTTTTGGTCAATAAAAAGCATCATATAATATGGTAAAATTCCACGAATAACATTTTTTAAACAAATTCCAAATCGTCACTTTCTTCTCCTCCTCAGGTGCAATGTTTTCAAAGCTGCCTCTTCATCATGGATGTATAATTTTAATGTTCTGGCCGGTTATTCGCCAGATTTTTTGCGTAAAACCAAAGAGATATTTTTACATTTAGCACGTGAGCGTTATCCACGAGTTACTTTAGACGAGGTAAGCGGGCCTGTTTTCAAAACTTCAACCCAAAAATATGAAAAACTTATTTGGACTGGTATTTTTCTTTCGCGTTCACTTTTCATATCGTCATAAATAATCAGACCCTATATGAAACAAATTAAAATACAAATTGAAAAGTATCAGTCGGTTTTTCCGACGGATATATACCCTCAGCCAATGTTCGATTATTTAAACATATTTTGACTTGTGTTATTAATATTCAAATGTTTGACACTCTATGGAGCCTGTTCCGTATCGGACCGCAATAAATAGATATAAATATTGAGACGTGCCAGGTTTGGACTATATTGCTTACTTCCTTCACTTTATATCAGTAGCGGGATTCTCTAACTCATTTTTTGAGGTACCGACAAAAATCGGTAACTTTGAAACTCAAAATTTTGATATAAAAAAGAAGTTAAAGTTGACAACATTGGTATCTATCAATAGGTCTTAGCGAATACTTTGATTTCGTCTTTAACTTACCGACATATTTCGTTAAATTCCGAAATGATAAGCATTTTAATTTTACCGACTCTTGTCGGTAACTCAAATGTAGAGTTAACGAATTCCACTACAGATATGTAATAATTTTTAGAAAATTGTTAAAATGTGCGTGAGGTAAAAGATATAGTCGACCAAAGTATTCCATTTTCATACTTCATCTGCACAAAATTACAAGAAAATCGAATATTTATATCCAATTGTATGCGAAATCATAAATTCAATATTCATCTCAGGTTTCTGGTTGAGACAAATATTTAGATATGGAAAGTGGTAAATAATCACTGACTTGTTTCGCAATTTATGACAGATAAAAGTATTGACCCTTTGTGGGTGAGGTACCAGAAGGTGTTTGCAGATATATATCATCTTCACCGATCGACCGATATATCCCATCTTCTTTTGTTAGAAAAAATAATGTGATGTGTGAAATATGAAGATAGCCGCATGCTTATTTCGGATTTTATAATTGTTTTGGTTATTCAAAATGTTGACTCTTTTTGGGGGAGGTATCAGAAGAAATGGTCCGATCTCTACCGCCTTTATAGCAGATACTGTGTTAATATTTTCGCGTTTTATGAGCTTGAGTCAAAATTTTGACTCTTTATGGGGGAGATGCCACAAGAAGTATGTTGGTAGAAATAATGAGATGTGTAAAATATGAAGAGAACTGGATTCATTTTTCGCATATAATAGTATTGGTTATTCAAAACGTTGACCCTTTGTGGGGGAGGTACCAGATGGAATGGTCCGATCCCTATCATCTGGAAATATTTTGCTTTTTATGAGCTTCTTGGTTATTCAAAATTTTGATATTTTATGGGGGAGGTACCAGAAACAGTGGACCGATATACCAACTTAACACCAGACCTTAGGTTAATTAAAATATTGGGATGTGTGAAATTTGAAGATAATCGGACATTTTCTCTTTCATTACATTTTATAAGAGGTAGATTAATATTCAAAATTTTGACTCTGACTCCACTTGATGGAGTGGACCTATATTGTCTATTTTCGCACCTGCCCTAGCGCTGATAGATATCATATCGAATACACACTTCATTACTTTTGAATACTTAATTTTGATTTCAGAAAAAGGGGTGACAAAGATAGCCATGGTCTATTGCAGGGCAAGGCAGAGAGCCTCAAAAATTTCAATTTAAAATAAAAAAAAATATATAAAATAAAATTTTATATAATTTTTATTTAAAAAAATATTAAACACAAATAATAATTTCGGACTTAACATCCTAACCATCTAAGTTGATCCTTTAAAAATTAATACCGATTACCACGGACTGACATACGCAAATAGTTGTAGAATTGTATGCTGATCAGAAACGCATATCCTGCGTTGGGTCCTAAAATATTATGTCTATGAATTACAAACAGAATGACAAACATCACATCCTGTTATTTTCCATAATATTGACTAAGAACGTACATATAATTTCAGAGAAATCAAGGGATATGAAAATGTCCATTAATTTGGAAGGACAATAAATTTGTCTAACAATATGAAATAAATTCCTATTCCTGAATTCGTATGTAAATTTCGTCAAATAAAATTCAATTATAAAAAGAAAAATCTTAAAATTTATAATTTTTACAAATTCGGAAATACTTGTTCCGAATATGTAGTAAGATGTATTTGTGCTCCAATATTTCTTACGGTGTATTCATAAAAATATCCGACAGCACCTTCCTCAACGACTGCTCGAATAAAACTAAATATTCTCCCAAAACCATTTTGACAGAAAATTCAAAACAATTTATTTTTTACAATTGTGTTGGTGAACACACAGATATCCCAAGGGATACTCTTTGCCTAGCCTTGGTCTATTGCAAATATATCTCCGAATTGTCTGATCAAAATAATAATTTTTAACAACGAAGTTGTTTTTAAAACGGAAAAATTATAAATTGAAAATATTAAGATAACCAATTATTTCTCACTCTGTAAAGAGAGGTAAAAAAACACTTGCAATATTTTGTTATTTCAAAACACATGCAATCACAAAAAATTTTTGAGGCTCTCTGCCTTGCCCAGTTCTATTGGTCTGTTTTAATTAAAAAAAAAATATCAGTTTCACTTCGATAGTGAATGAAAAAGGTTCCAAATATTCTTTTTGTTATACATATATCTATAAAATGGTTTTTTGATCCATTCGTGTTATATATTCTCTTCCAAAATAATTTATATTTTTTAATTGTTATATTTAACAGCGTTTTTTTTTTTTTTTTGGTTCATAGTATCAAGTAATAAATATTTTCGATGGCTTTTCAAAAAATATTCTTTAAAAACTCCACGTCTCGAAGGGTTTTCCAAAAATATTCTTTAAAAAATCCACATCTCAAAGGTTTTCCAAAAATTTTCTTAAAAAATCCACGTCTAAAAGGGTTTTCACAAAATATTCTTTAAAAAATCTACCTCTCAAAGGTTTTTAAAAAAATTATTTTGTCTTGACCGTATCAAATTATATATACCCTCTCTTGCTATATGGCTCCACGCATTTTCATTTTATTTTCTTGCAGTAAAAGTTTTGACGTTTTAATATAAATACCATTTAAACTGAGACCTTTTTCAAAATATACAAACTATATCCCAGTGCTGTTTTAATACTTCATAAAAAATTTCACATCCGCCATTGAATATTGAATAAGTAAGGCAATAAACTTTACAGTTTCAAATCTCGCCACAGCTAATCATCAATTCCCTTAGTGTCTTCATCATTGTGTAACAAAATTACTCATTAAACATTCCCTTTAAAATGTTCAATTAAATATAATTTTATCAAATAGTCCAATCTTTACCATTCTACCTACCTCCCACCCAACTACATTTACTATTTATGTCCTTTTTGGCACACTCTTCAATACCCTTTCACAGTTCATTAATGTTGTAAATGGGGAAAGTACTCAAAAGTAAATTATCTCTTAATTACCCTTTATTATTCTTTACTGACATTTTTGTTATTTTCATCTTTGTTGTTTTTCTGCTTCCTTCTCCTCTACCAGCTGCACGAGGCTCAGAACAATTCAGTGACCTTTTTAATAGCCCGCCATCCTTTCGAGAGGCTATTGAGCGCTTATCGCGATAAATTTGTGTATGCCATACCACATTCGCTGCACGATAAGTTCGGCCGTAAAATAGTACGAACTTATAGGAAAAAGGTTAGTGGTGCAGACAAACACACACATACTTATATTTTTGCAGCCTTTGTTATTAATCAATAATTTCTTGTTTTTTTTTTTTTTTTCTTTTCTGCAGAGTCTACAGCTAAAGCCACCCAAATATCCAACATTCCAAGAATTTGTCCGTTGGCTATTGGATCAAATCAAGCATGACAACTATCTGGACATGCATTTTGTTTCGTATACACGATTCTGTACACCGTGCCTCATACATTTCGATGTAATTTTAAAATTTGAAACCCTGGAAGAGGATCAATTGTATCTGATCGAAAAGACTGGTCTGAAACAGATAATAGCGCCAGAATGGCAAAATCCTGGCAAAGGAAAAAACACATTGGACTTATTGCAACAATTCTATTCGAAGTTAACGAGAACAGAGATCGATGGACTGTATGATTATTATAGGTAAATATTTGTATTTAATATGACTAAGTTTGAGATCATTTGGAATTAAAACCAGAGCTCGAAAAAATTTACTCGAATTTGTACACAGAGTAAAATTCGCCCGAATTCGAGCAAGAGCGCTCCCCAGAGCATAGGACCATATTTTTATCTTTTTTGAGTGGGAGCACAATTCCTTCAAAATCGAGCAGATTCTAATCTTGCGGAGAACTCTTTTCGATTTTTCATACCGTTATTGTAATTCTTTTTTCTACACGGTCACACCCCCTCTCTTCCCTCTCTTTTCAAATAGGAGTGACTGGGGAATGCTCCCACATCAACAAGAGTGAAGAGCAGACTCCGTAAAAAACTCTCATAATATAATTATTCAAAAATTTGACCCTTTGTGGGGGAAGTACGATACTTTTTCATTTTGGCGCCTGACCTAGCACCGACGAAAATATTGGGATCTGCAAAGTTTCTACATCGAGCAGAGTAGATTAAAATTAAATTATGGTAAAGATCCAGCAGATTATGAAAGTAGTGCAAAAAAGAAGACACCTGTACCGGCGTATTAAAAGTTTACATCGCAAAGTAACCTAAATAGAGGGTGAAAGTTCCCCCTTCTTTCATACTTTTGGAAATTTTCGGATTAAGATTCCTCAGAATACATGCATTTTAGGTAGTGTAGCGTAGTAGTAGTGTAGTGTCTTAGGCAATATTTCAAATTTCACTAAATAACTAAAAGGCATGGATTCCGAGGAATCTTAATTCAAAAGTGCAGAAGAGGAGGAAACTTGCCCCTCAATTTAGGTTACTCTGCGATGAAAACTTTCAAAACGCCGATACAGGTGTCATTCTATGGAGGATATATTAGCTTTGTCATTCCGTTTGTAACTCCTCGAACTATTCCGTCTGTCTGTCTGTTGTCACGCTGTCTTTCGACGAATTGAGGCATTTTAAGTTCGTAAATGTGCCATGTCGTGCCACTTTTTCTTATAGCCCCCATATTACGGTATCTCCCGATATTCGGTATTTTGATGATTTTAACGACATTCACCCGAATTGTTTCAAATTTCGTATTCGAAGTTTGTAATGGGTACAACAGTCTATGCAAAAAAATTTCGAATGTATGTCCACCTCTTCGTATAGCCCCCATATAACGGTACCTCCCTTTATTCGATATTTGATAATTCTAGCGACATTATTTACCGGAGATGTTTCAAATTGGGTATTAGAACTTTGTAATGGATACTACAGCCTATGACAGAATATTGTCTGCGCAGGTCTACGTCTTCGTATAGCCCCCATATAATGGTACCTCCCGATATTCGGTATTTTAATGATTTTAGAGACTTTATTCCCGGGAATTTGTATCAAATTTGGTAATTGAAGTTCTTAATGGATACTACACACTAAGACAGAAAATTGTCTGTGCAGGTCCACGACTTCGTATAGCCTCCCGATATTCGGTATTTTGATGATTTTAGCTACATTATTCACCGGAATTGTTTCAAATTTGGTATTTGAATTTCATAATGGATACTACAGCCTAAGACAGAAAATTGTCTGTGCAGGTCCATGTCTTCGTATAGCCACCATATAATGGTACCGCCCTATATTCGGAATTTTCATGATTTTAACGACATTATTCACCGGAATCGCTTCAAATTTAGTATTTGAAGTTCGTAATTGTTACTACAGCCTATGACAGAGAATTGTCTGTGCACCCATATAATGATACCTCCCTATATTCGGTATTTTGATGGTTTTAGCTACATTATTCACCGAATTTTTTGTTCAATTTTCGCATTTGAATATTGTAATGGCTTATGACAAAAGTTGCCTATGCAAGTCCACGTCGTCGTATAGACCCTAATATAACAGCTACATTCGGTATTTTTAAGATTTTAACTGAATTTTCAACGGATTATATTTTATTTATTTATTTATTTTTTTTTTTTGCAAATTGGCGAATTTGTTCCAAATGGTGGAGGGCATTCAAAGTTCGGCCCATTTACTTGTTTTTTTTTTTTTTTTTTTGCACTGTATATATTCAGACTGGAAAATTTGTAATATCTTCCCATTTAGAAAATAATATTCACTCATTTTCTTCTTCTCTTACAGATATGACTTTGAACTCTTCAATTATAGTGCGACATCATATTTTAATATAGCCCGATCGAATGAGGAGGATATTCCGGAACAGCCGGTCTTATTATTGGGAAAACCTCCAGCGCCTTGAACAATGTGAAGAAAGACACATCACAATAGCAATTTCCTCGCATTACAAATGAAAAAGACTACAACACTCCTCTGGAAGAGAGTGAATATATCACACACGCTTCTCTGACGAAAACACAATCAATAAAAGCATAACATAATAAAGGATTTGCAAATACACACTCACAATAACCTGGAAAACTTTCGCTAAAAGAAAAATCTTTCGCTCTCTCACTCTCTCTCTACTCGGAAGACTCACAAGAGGGTTATTCGAATAATGAGATCCAATGAGATATAAACTCAAAGTTTGTTAGATATACTATATCTAGTGGATATCCACTAGATCTCGTTTGTGTAAACATGCTATTAGATCAATTTTATATTGAAATATTGGAAAAAATGTTAAATTTATATCATGGTACAATGATATCAAGGTAGGGCTATGATAGCATATGATTTTAATTTTTTTTATTTTCTTGGCTTAATATGTCATCTTTATTTGTTTATGTATGTGTTTTCTTTTCAATAACAAAAAAATGATCCAGAAAACATTGAAATTCGGGTGTTTTCAAAATGTTTATTTCAACGTATGCATCGACAAAATCTAGAGTTTTTGTAGCGAAATAATCCTTTAGAGATATATAGTACATTATTTTGAAAAGAAGTGTTGACCTTTCATTCAATTATCGCGTTTTTCAATTATCTATTCAAAATAAATGCAACAAGTTGTTTGATTTTTTATTGTTTTGATACTAATTATGACATTACAAGCCAAACAGGTAGAACTCTATACTTGCAATTTTTTCAAAGTTGACCTACCTTCTCTTCATTGTACCATGATCACAGTAAAGTGATCTAATGTGGGGTTAAACTTTATTTACACGGAAACCTAAATTACACCGCGACGAGGGTTTCGATGAAGTCGCTTCTTTTCTTTTCGAACCATTTCTGCTGATGTTGCTGTTTTCTTCCGTAATAATATGACTCTTTTGCTTCTAATTACAATGCTTCTCTATATATTTTCAAGCGCAAACGTTCTCTGTCCAAGCGTGGTATGTTTCTTATCTCTATGATCTCGATAGTCCGAATGACCCTCAATACAACGCTCTCGTCCATAAAAACAACGCTAGTTTTATATGCATTTCTCGCTCTCTATCTCTCTATATATACACACATACTGTAGTTATATTATTTAAATATATATTTTTTCAAATTTAGTGCGTTTGTCGAAAACGAAAAGCTTTCGAAATTCCAGATGCTAGCTATTTTCGAAGTATTGCAATACAACAAAAAAAAAAAAACAAAAAACAAATTGTAGACAATGAAAACAGGAAGGAAACCAAACAAAAATACAAGAAGACATCATAAAAACAAATGGTTACAATAATATTTATTAAGCATCAATAAATATATATACCTAATAATTATAATAATAATAATAAAACTGTAGAAAAATTAAAATTTTAAGAACAAAAAATAAGTATATATAATAATTTTACGAAATATCACGCATAGCGCTTTTTACTTACCTTAAATTGAATTGAAAATGTACTAGAGAATCCCAGTTATTTATATGTATTTATATTTATTGTTAATATTTTTTTTGTTAATTTATTTATTTATTCAATTTGGTAATGTAAAAGAAGGAATACAAATCGAATGTAGATGAATAAAAAACAAAACAAAAATTATCAGAATGATATATGATGATGTTTTTCATTTTTTACCACATTAAAAGGTAACAGATGGTCCATCTCTGCATTTTCTGTAACTTGTTAAATTTCACCGCATAGAAATTAGGTTCTCAACTCCGATTTGTGTATATACAATGGATTTATGCAGGCGTGTCACAAAATAGAATTCCGTAATTTAAAATCGATTGTTTTTATCTTAACTTCTTCAGATTCCTATCGGTTTGTTGAACTGCAAAAATCTGTGATAAGAATACACTGTGGAAATGGAAATTGTGAAAAAAAATTCAGTTTAAAAGTTGAAAAGAAAGTACATTTTGTTAATTTCTACACAATGCCGGAAGTTTCGATTTGAGACACAAAGTAATGAGCACAATCGGCTCAATTACGGTTGTCGTTTCTATAGTCGTCGTCGACATCATGTGTAAGTCACCGTCGCTTCGATTCAAAAATGGTATTACCGTTTAAAAAAAAAAATTGGCAACACTACCTTGTTATTGACAGAAAAGATAAAAAATTGTTTTTTATTTTGAATCTGAATTTCGTCTCTTTTGGAAAAAATAACAAGAGCAGTAAGTTCGGCCGAACTGAGCTTTGAATACCCTCTAACATTTGAAACGAATTTGAAAATTTAAAAAAAAAAAACAAAATCCGTAAAAAATTCTGTTAAAATCTTAAAAATACCGTGGACCTATATAGGTATTGCTTGTCATGAATTTTAGTGAGTATTGTACCTAAAAACCTCAACATACCGAATATAGGGAGGTATTGATATATGGGACCTATACGAAGACCTGGACCTGTATAGACAATTTTCTGTCACAAACTGTAGTTCCCATTACGAACTCTAAATACGTTATTTTAAACTACTCCAGTGAATAATGACGCTAAAATCATCAAAATACCGAATATTGCGAGGTTCCGTTACATGGGGGCTATACGAAGACGTGGACCTTCACGGACAATTTTCTGCCATAGACTGTAGTATCCATTACAAACTTCAAATACCAAATTTAAAACAATTCCGGTACCAAATACCAAATTTGAAGGGTATAAAAATACATAAAAAATGTCGTACCAAGTAAAAAAAGAAATACGTTCGACCGGCCAAACTTTTAATACCCTCCAATTTTGGGCAAAGGAAACATGTTTTTATAAAAGTATCTGAATTCAAACATATTCCACTTTAAACTACAAATTCCAGTGAGACCGTTTGGATAATGCTTTTAAACTAAAAAAAAAAAAACAATAAAGTGGGAGGCCGTTGCATGGGGGCCATACCAAAACGGGAACCTCTAAAGGCAACTTTGTACTTCATACACCAAATCTGCTTATATACCAAATTTGAAACAAGTTCGTAGAAAAATTTGACTAGGATTATCAAAATATCATAAATATTATCGAATATCAAAATACCAAATACAGGAAAACGTGGACCTATACATGCAATGTCGCTTCACTGTATCTAGAACCCATTATGAACTACAAATACCAATTTTTAGACCAATCCGTGAAAAAATGTTGGAAAAAAAATCATAAAAATACGGAATATCTGGAGGTACCGTTATATGGGGGCTATGAATATACTACTTCCGCCACCGGAGCTAAAACCTATTATGAACTACAAATACCAATTTTTAGACAAATCCGTGGAAAACTGTTGTAAAAATTACAAAATTTATCGAATATAGGGAGTTACCGTGGTATGGGAGCTATACAAAAACCTGAACCTATACATACAATGTTTCGCCACCGAAACTAGAACCCATTATGACCTACAAATACCAATTTTTACACAAATCCGTGAAAAATTTTTTGCAAAAATCATAAAAATACCGTCTAATGGGGGCTATATAAAAATGTGTACCTTTTGCCATCAGAGTAGAACCCATTATGACCTACAAAAACCAATTTTTAGACCAGTCCATGAAAAAATGTGGCGAAAATCATAGATACCAATACACCCTCCTTTTCAAGGCGGATGGTATAACAAGTAAACAAATGCTATAGGCGTGCGGGGCCGACCATGTGATACCCTACAACACTATAATATGTTAAAAGCCCCCTTAGGTCCAAATCCATTCAGATTTCGTTTTCGAAATAATGTCATTCAGCCCCGCAAAAATGTTACGTTTGTTTTTTGAACGGGGGAACTTTCCCTATATATACCATCTCTGTCGTGCTGATAGGCATTCAATTTAAATACTGGACCTCTGCCCTGTCTATAACTCTCTCCTCATGCAAAATTTCGTGCCGATTGGTTTCACATTGTGACCTTAAAAGCGACTGCAAGATCAGGAAATTTTCATTTTTGCTCCATTTGAACCCTTAAATGTACATATTTTAAAAAAATAGGCTTCAGTTTTAACCCCTACCCCTGTGCAAAATTTCGTGAGGATCGGACGACCTGTATCTAATACCATCCACACATAGTGTTATAGAGTGTAAAAATATAACTTTACAAAAATGTACAATTCAAAATTGTAGGTCAAATTGAAAAAATTGCATGCAATAAAAAATATGACAAAAACTTTGTTATTGGAATATTTTTCCGCGATTTTCTTAGATTTTATCTTTTTTTGGTAAGACACTATTTCGAATTGGTCAGAATTGTGAAAATCGGCCCAGCGGTTCTTATAAGCAAAATAACTAAGATCAATTTCTTTCTCATATATGCTGTACCTAATTTGCTATAAATCCGATATTTTGGACATCAACGTCAATATAATGTCAAAAGTGACCGTTAATTGAAAATTGTTGTATTTTCTTACATAAATGTTAAGGTCTATTTCACCCGCTACCATCGGACAACAGTGCGCCTCATTGGGACTAGCGTATTATATCAGCTGGCTCTGCTGCTAACATTTCGTGTTATAAGTCCCACTAGCATCCCGCAAAGTTCTCCAGCTCCGAATGCTAAATCTAAAAAATTTACCAGAATTTTTGAAATTCCGCCTGCCTGCCTGCCTGTCTCCGCAAAACTGTCCATTGTTAACTCAGTTTTAAAGTTGTGTAGTCACCGCAAAATAAATATTAAAATGATTTTATTTATGTTTTTTATTTTAAATTTTTATTTATTAATGTTTTCTTTTCTTTGTCGTTTTCACATTCTTCTTACAATAACTTATGAAAAAGGGTTTTTGGATTTTTATTAGTTGTTTTTACAAGGGTGGAGTGGAAAATGAATTCATAAAAACTAACAACAGGGATGGTGTAATGACTTTAGTATAACATATAAATTACTTAAAGTATATTTTTTAAATACCTTGGGGGTATTTGTGGAAAATTTTAAAATTAAATTTTTAAAATAATTCAAATGGAGCTCTGCTGCTGTGTAGGATATTGGGTAACAGGGTTCAAAATCACCAAATGAATTGTGAACTGGAGCAAAAAGTTTAGGTCTGTCCGGTTACCATTAAGCTTACAACAACAATTGTTGTCTTTTAACACAAAAAGTTCTGCAAAGGAAAACGGATGGCCCAATTAAAAGGTCTACCCTTTAAGCCAATTTACCCAATTTAATGTCCAAATGTATCACACAAGAAGAGATATACAAAATGTAAAAATTGACATTAAATGTGATTAATTAAATTTAAGGAACACCTTAAGTAGAGACATTTGGAAAGTTCTTTTACTGTGAGTTTGCAAACTCTTTGCCGGGCAAATTTCTTCATCCAATCTCTTGCAACTCCTCTTTTTACTTTTAAAGTATCCTATTATGGCTCAACGAGAAAGGTTGTTCAACTTCAAAGGAACTAGAAAAATGCAACTCAGTGCTGGAGTCTAATGGTGTCAAATGGAATTTAAATATGCAACAGTTGACTTTGTTTATTTTTATTTATTAATTTTTTTTTAATTCATATATTGGGAAAACCCGCGAAACAAGAATGGAATTTCGGGGTTATTCCGCAATATTGAATCTAAAATAGTAGGACAATTACAGTTTTATCACAAAATGATACAATAAGGGCACCAAAAGAAAAAAATTTATTTAGGTGGTAGCATTATTCTACCTTCTATAATTATGCAATGCATAGTAGGGAGGGTATATATTAAGTTCGTCATTCCATTTGTAACTCATCGAAATAATAATTTTCGACTCAACAAAAAAATTCTTAGACGATTTAACCATGTCCGTCTGTTGTAATCACGCTACAGTCAAAACGAATTAAGATAGGTAGCTAAAATTTTGCACAGATCTGTCTTCTGGCTGCGGTTCGATATCGGTCCACGATATCGTATGTTATTTTAACTACATTTTTCAATGGAATTGACTGAAAATCCACACAAGGAGTTCCTTATGAGTACTTATTGCTCTGGAAGAGAATTATCTATATAGGTCCACGATATCGTGTAGCCCCATCTAGCGGTACCCAGAATATTCACCAGAATTGTTTCAAATTTAGTACATACAGTACGGAACCGTTACTACAGCCTTTGGCACAAATTACTTATGCAGGACCACGTCTTCATATAGCACCCATATATTTTCATTTGAGCGGCATTTTTCCACAGTTTTTTTTTTTTTTTTTTTTTTTTTGAAATGTAACAAGATTCTTCCAAATGGTGGAGGGTATAAACTCTTTTGGTTTTTGAACTCCTTTATTTGAAAAATACAACATTCTTACGGCCTTTGTTTATTTTTATGGCAGACAAATTAGAAATTACTCAGCAAAGTAGAAAGTAGAAATTACTCAGCAAAGTAGAAAGTAGAAATTACTCAGCAAAGTTTACTGAAAGAATTTTTTTTCTCACGTGCGAAAAATAATTAAGAATTTCAATTTTTGTCGTGGAAAATGAAAAATAGTTCAAAATGTTATTTATTTCTGTACTTTGTAAATATTTTTGTATAGTTTTGACGAATCAGCTGATTTTAACAGGGGTATCTTTTTGCATTTGCTTGCAAAATAGAATTAAGCCTCCTCACTCTCACCGAAATAAGTTGCTGAACAATTCCTGCAAAGAAAGTAACCAGACAGACCAATTATTTCAAGCATAATGGAATAATTATAAAACATATAAACCATTACTGCCGAATTGGTGCATAAGTTTATAAAACAGAAGGTTTCTTCTCCATTTATCTACAATATCTTAAAATTAAAATTTACAGGTATTGACACACCTGTCCCCATGGTACAATGAATTCAAGGTAGAGCAGAACTACCATATGATTTCAATTTTTTTATTTTTCTGGCTTAATATGTCAACTTCATTTGTTTATGTGTGCGTATTCTTTTCAATAATAAAAAATTGTTCAGAAAATATTCAAATTCGGGTGTTTTCAAAATGCTTATTGCAACATATGCATCGACAAAATCTACAGTTTTTGTCGCGAAATAAACCATAAGAGATATATAGAATATGATTTTGATAAGAAATTTTGAACTATCATTCAGTTTTCGCGGTTTTAAATTATTTATTCAAAATCAATGCAACAAGTTGTTTGCTTTTTTATTGTTTTGATAGTAATTCTGACATTACCAGCCAAACAGATAGAACTCTGTACTTGCAATTTTTTCAAAGTTGACCTACCTTCTCTTTATTGTACCATGCCTGTCCCCATTTTAAAGACATGGGGATTTTAAGGACAATTGATTTTTGCCATTACAATAGTTTATGATAGCTTTTCGGGTCAAAATTGTTTCAATAAAACCAAATCTTACAACAGCTTGTGAAATCAAATTTTTGGAGGTGAGCATATAGCGTGCCGATGAGATCAAAAAATATATAATATATATGCCATTTATCATTTTCAATAGCTAAACTTAAGCGTATAATAACCGAAGACGGACATCTGTTAAAACAATATGAATTTTGACCTTCCTTAAACTTTATCTCTTCATCAGCATGCAGTATTTGAAATCCTATTAGTAATTTCAAAATATAATCTACACATATTTTTTAATTAAAAAAACATAGAAAATCGGCGTCGTCGCAAAAGGAAGTGGAGGCGACAATAACGGCATTAGGATAGTCAGTTTTTGTCGATAGCGATGAATAATTGCTGTTATCATTGTCGATATAATGTCGACATGAAGTCGTTTTTAGAGAATATCTGTCGCCGTAAAAATTGTGACGACATTGAATTTTTTAGTCGACGATTTTTGTATTTGACGTTCGACCATGAATATAACAATAGCAAAACAATTTGGAAATATTGAAGTCATTTCCGACACTGGTCTCTTAAGATCCTAGCGCTAAAAACCTCAATACTGTGGCCAATTGAAACAACTCTAATTTAGTAAAAACGTTTTGATTTTTTTGAATTTTCGGTAATTTTACCCTGATTCCGAAAAACACATATTTTTGACTGGAAATTCCGAAATCTAGAAGAGAATATCTCTGGACCCAGAAAATCGATAATTTGACTATAACTTCCGACCCGCTTTAAACAACCCAATCAACTTGTTGGATAGGTACTTTCATAAGCGATACCTATATTGTTTCAAGAACATATTTTAATAACATTAATTAAAATATGTACTTACTTGGAGTCAGGTAATGAAAATATGTTTGTTTGCTGCTTTAGTACTGGCCGCTGCTCTTCTAATACCTTCTCCTGTTCATCCTCAATTGAACTTAAGCGATATAAAGCATTTATTATATTCATTTTCACTATATTTTTTTCCGAAAGAGAAGAAATTACGATTCAAAATACAAAAGTTTTTTTAACTTTCTTGTTAACAACAAGGGAGTGTTGCCAACTTTTTTAAACTAAAAAACCGTAATACCGTTTTTGAATCGAAGCGACGGCGATGACGACTTCCACATAACATCGACGACGACTATAGAAACGACAACCCTAATTGGGCCGAACATTTTAGATAATGTTAAAATAAATTTAGTTCTTTAGGTCGACTTGGGTCCATGTAACACCGTGTAATTTATTTAAAACAGAAATACAATATTTAAATGAAAGTCCAAAGGTCCGACAAGTGAAATGTTATGGATTTAAGGGATATTTGATTATTGTTTATTATGGGGGATGGATATTGGAAGGAATATGGATGTTAAATAAATATTGACGGGTTCTTTTGTGTTTGATAGAGCAGTATTACTATTGCAATTGTTTAAAGGTTCGTCGTTTGTTCTTATTGTTGTTATTTGTTTATGCATAGTTATTATTTAAAATTTCACTAGAAAAATGTACAATTATATTGTTTTTTGGATTTATTATTATTTTATTACACGATTTATGCTATTTTTTTCAATGTACTGTTATCTTTTTTGTTAAATCAATCAGATATCTTTGTCCTTTCATAATTTTACAAAAATTCCCATGTATTTCGTTTATTTTGTCGGTTTGTTTACTTGAAAAAATAAGGAAATTATACAACTTGTTTTGTTTTTTCAAGTTCAACTGTGGGAGTTTATTTTGGAGTTGTTACTTTTTTGTTTTTGTTAATGTAAATGAAACGTTATCTCACTTATTTCGTATAATTCTTTATTATATAGTTTTACCTAACACTTTTGCTATTTTTCTTCACTTGTTTCCTTAGTTTTCACTTTGTTTTGTTATAAATAACTTAATGTAAGGCTTAAAAATTCTAAACTTTTTTTTTAATTATTGTAATTAATATAACTGTGTGTTTTTTTTTTTTTTTTGTTCTTGTCTAATTACAAAATGGTTTTCAATTTGATATTGTTAATTTGTTTTCATTTTTTCAAGACCAATATATGGATCCTTCCATTTATTGTTTAAACTACATATATATTTATACATGATTATTACTATTTTTTCATTGGGAAATAAAATTTGACGAGATTTTAATACAACACCAATCTGTAATAATTTACAGACGAAGTACAGGGTTTGTCTGGTTTCAAATTTCAAAGAAAAACTTTCTGCATTTGGTAGTTCGAAACGATCCTGACCAATACTCGCCTTAAGGACTGTTTCCCAAAATCTTTTAATTTGAAATAGGAAGACTGTCAAAATATCTAATTACAAGACTATCTAAAAGTAATCGTTACTACGACTGAATATAGTAATATAATAAATCGCTGGTATTCGAAAGGCAGGAAAGGCTGAGCGTGACTTTAAACTCGACTTAGTGAAAATGGATTTCCTGAAATACATTCTCAGTTCGGTTATATCATTTTTGAATGTTAAGCAGACTCCCGGAATTGTCAATAAGAAAATGACAGGATAAAGAAGAATAAGAAATAGCGGGAGAAGGCCAAACGTGTTCGACTTTAAAATCATTTTTTAGGAAATTAAAATATAGGCTTATGTGAACCCTGGATATCGTGGAAAGATGAAGTTCTTATTAGTTTACAATTCCAAACCGATGTATCAGTCACTGTTTACAGAAAGGCTTTTAAAAGAACAATTGTTGAATTGTGTCTGATTTGTTGTTGAATTCATAAAAGTTTTGGCATTTAGAACAGAGTTGATATTTTTTTTATTGGAATACCTTCGTTTTTGAGTAAAAGTAAAATGTATAAAAAAAAGTCTGCAAGAATGTTTGATATGTCGCATCGAAGGAATTTAAAAATGACAACAATTCAGAACAGAGGCGAAATAAGCAATACACATGCTATGCAAGGTATGATAACTTTCTAATTATTTGGCATATTTTTTCCAGAACTATCTTGGTTAAAATGTTGAAGTGGTAGTGTAAATTGAATAAGTATAAAAATTCGAAAATATATTCCAAAATGTTGATATAATTCTCAAATTAATTGATGTTGTCGCTCTTTTAAATGGCCACTGCCAGAAAAATGCCCACCTTTTATGACTACCAAAAGTCAAATTATGTCGGTCTCTGCACTTCGACGACATGTCTTCTCACAAGTCAAAAGAAAAGGTTTACCCCTAAATTCAAATAACTGCGAATAAAATCAAATAAGTAATTTTAAAATTTAATTAAATATGTTAAAAATGTAACTGTATATTTTATTTGAATTTCTTTTTTTTTTTCTAAGTTACACCTAAAATTGATTAATGACTACCAATAAAGTTTTACAGTTGATGTTGTATTAAAAAGATTTCAACGTTATTTTTTTTGTTTAATATATTATCCCAATATAGGATATAGGATTTGTTTAAAGGTTTGTAACCACAATTCTATGTTTTCTTTCATAAATTTTACATTTTAATTTTGTTTTCTATGTTTTCTTTTTTTAATGGGAAAAATAATGAAACTAAATGAGGAAATGTTATAAAAATCGCTTGTTTTTAATTTACAAATATTTATAAATTTTACAAATCTAACATTATAAGGCCATATTTTACAAGAATTATATTTTCAATGATTATTTCTTTATGTTATGTTCTCTGGGGGGCTTTGTTTAACTATTTGCTGTTGTTGATGTTTAATTAATAACAATATATCAGAAAACATAAGTGAATATCAACGCTACTCTAAATTAGAGAAAGGAAACTAGAATCTAAAAAAAAACTTTTCAAAAGAAAGTCTTTTAGTGAAAAAAAATAAATAAAAAAAAACGGAAATAAAAAATTCAATTGTTAAACAAAAGAAAATATTGCTAATATAAAAATAAGGTTTTTTGTCTGCTTATATATTGTGGTTAAATAAAAACAAAGATCCTTGAGGAGCACAAAACATTACATATACATGGTATTGTTGTTGCAGTAGTTTCTCGCGCAATTGGAAGCAATATTTGATTTTCTAAACGAAAAGAAAATTAAGGTAATAATAATCGAAGAGGGGCGGTTGTTTTTTTTTTCAGCAATATACGAAATACAAAAGATAGAAAATTACAAAACAAGATAACAAAAATTGAAGCGCTGATCTTAAAATCGGAAGTATAGTAGAAAAATATATAAATATATGTATATGACAAGAACCGAAAAGGTGTTTTTTATATTGTTATGTTAAAAATATAAATAACAGTAGAACATCATTGTTTGCATCTTTATACAGTGTATTCTAAAAATAATGCATCACTTAAGATATGCCTTATACAACATTTGGCTTCGACACGTTTCACGTTCTTGTTCCATAAAGAAAAGCATGTCACGTAAATTGACACGTTTGATACGCGGCCTTAAGGGTGCCGGTGGTGTTCCGGATGTTCCTAAAACGTTACTTGCACCAGTACCCTAAAACACAAATAGATTGTTTTTTTTTAATAACATAACAATTTTTATAGACATATTTCGCATATCTTGTAACTTACCAGACCAGAACTTGCCCCGTCACCATCCAATTTTAATTTCTTTCGAGGACCAATGGCCTGCAGAGCTGTCATATTGGCGTCGCGTTGTCTTAGCTCTTCCATTTCAGCACGTTGCATTTCTTTAGCCTGTAAAATAAAATTTGTTAAATTAATTAAAAGTACAAACTAGCTTAGTGTCTTGTTAAAACAAGTCCCGACAATAAAATGGTAAAAACTAAAAATAATGTTCATAGCCTTTTGGCAATCCAATGTTGAAGCTAAACCTGATTAGCAGATTTTAAATGGCGAATATTGGTTACTGCTACAAGGATAAGAACGTGACTACCTTGGTGAAGCATGCACATTTACCAAGTCTGCACCAGTTTCTCATTCTGACATATCTTTTAGATCAGTAATTTCTTAATGACGTTTTTTGTACTCGCAAATGAATTCAGTGCATACCCATGTTTTTGTAAATTTAGGAAATTATGTTCTCTTCGCTCATTTTTGTCAACAACTTACCCTCGCTTTCATTTTTGCTTGTTCGGGATCTTCCACTTTAGATCTTGATTTTGCTGCACGTAAAAGCATTTCACGTTCCAATTCTTCGTGACGTTTTTGTTCAGCCTTATCGAGTTCCTCTAAAAACTTAATTTGTCCCCGGACATCCTTTGTCACTTCATAACGGGGATCCAACTGTGAAACAAGACAAAAAGACAAACAATTAATATTGATTATTCATCACAGAATGTAGATCGGCGACTTACTTTAATTACATCAATGCGATGTTCCGCTATTACCGCCAGTTTTTCAACAATATTTTTCAGTCGTTCTTGGCACGCATGAGAGATTAGCACAGCTACATCTTGTGATGGTTCCTCCAGGCCACGTTCCATTACCATGGCACGTATGCGTGCTTGTAGGGCGGGTAAATGAAGAAACACTTCGTCTTTACACGAACGTATTTGCGTGCCGATGTTTTCCGTACAACCCAAGATACGCTGAGTTTCCTCGGCCAAATTGACACCACCCATTGCGGCAACATCGTTGATGTCATCATCTCCATATGAGGACATTGATATGGAAGGTTGCTGGAAAAATGAGGCGGCACTAGATGCCGCCGACGTGGTGTTGTTGATTTTCAATTCATCTCGATCTTTGTCCGCTAAATCTCTTTTCTTTTTCGCCGCTGCCTTATTGACAGAAGCTGTAGACGTTTTGGCAGGGGCTTTGTTAGCTTGTTGAGTGGGCGTTGAGGGTGCAGAGATGATTGTGGCTATGCTACCGCCTTTGATTTCCGTCTTTATGTGATCCAAGGACGACGAAGACGACGTATTTGTGCTAATCAACGAATGTGTCGAGTTCAGCTGCAATTGCTGCTGTTGTTGTTGCTGTTGAGCCAACACTGCTGGCGGTAATTGCACGGTGGGTAATGAAGGTATCGGCAGACCTGATACACTACACACGCTATTACTAGCTACCGAATTGATGGTGGAGAGAATCGATGCTGATGATGATAGCGACGAGCCTGTGGGTACATTATTGGAAATGGCAGCCAACGATGGTGGTTGTGATGAAATGGCAGGTGAGGGCGATGATGAAATAGCTTTAATTTGCGTCTGCCCCACTTTGACATGTGTGATGCCAGCACCAGGACTAGCCGTGGGTGTCGTTGTATTCTTTGCTTTAGACGTACGTATTTGAACCGTGGCAGGTCGACTTATTTGCGTTGCTGTGGGCGCACGTATTTGGACGATATTCTGTCAATAAAATGGGACAGGTTAAAATTAATAAATCTAATTTCATAATTTGACTTACCGCATGTGAGGATTGGGTTTGCAGTTGCGCCGTTGTTGGTTGCGACATTGGTCCTCTTATTTGAGTATTTATTAGACGTGGCCCATTCGCGGGTCCCTGTATACGTATACCGCTAGTCGGTTGTTTTGTTATGGTCGTATGACCAATGGGCCTTGACGCCGAGGCAGGTATTATCATGCGCACTTGTGTCTGTCCAATTGTGGTTGTTTGATTTTGACTGATGGGACGGATCTGTGCTTGAATTTTCTGCAAAGAAAGAAATATCAATATTAACAAAATGTTTTATTAATGTATATGGAAAATTCGTAGAAACTTACCGGCAATTGTTGTTGTATGGTAATTCCTCCCACAACATGTTGCGGCGGTGGTTTTATTCCTTCGATTACCAATTCTTTTGTAAACAGCGCTTGCCGCAGCAATGGCAAACTTTTCTGTAAAAGTAAATATTAAAATTTTTAGAAGGTTAAACAGTGAAAAATGCATTGTTAATGTAAAAAACAAAACAAATAAAAATGCTGTAAGTTCGGCCGGACCGAACTTTGAATACCCTCCACCATTTGGAACGAATTTGGCAATTAAAAAAACATTAAATCCATTAAAAATTCTGTAAAATTCTTAAAAATACCGAATGTAGCCGTTATATTAGGGTCTATACGACGACGTGCATAGGCAACTTTTGTTATAAACCATTACAATAATCAAATGCGAAACTGCGAAAAAATCGGTGAATAATGTAGCTAAAATCATCAAAATACCGAAAATATGCTAAGCCTTTCTTCGGAAGCCAAATATCTCGGTACCGTCCTAGACCAAAAACAAAGCTGGAAGAGGGTCATAGAGGAGCGAGCGAAGAAGGGCTTAATTGCAATTTATGCCTGCCTAGGAAAAAGCTGGGGACTCAAGCCTAACATAATCAAATGGTTATATAAGTCAGTCGTCCGACCAATTCTAACCTATGGAGTTCTTGTTTGGTGGCACTCCTTAGGGAAAACTACCTTCAGTAAAAGCATTGATAATGTCCAAAGAGTTGCATCGCTACTAATTACAGGCGCGTTTAGGACTTAAAACATAAAACCGTTAGGTTTATTTGTAGAGGAACAAGCTGTTAGGTGTGCCCTGGGACAATGGCGGAGTCAGCCCTCTGGACACTCCGTCATTTTCAAGTATGTGGAGAGCATAGGAAATCAAGCTGTAGCTAGCGATTAGATATCACCTAGGCACACCTTTGAACTACTTTATATCCATAGTCTATAGTCAAGCGGCCCTAAAAGCCCTAAATTAATTTACACTCAAATCTATTGCAGTTCTGGAAGGCAGAGAAGTTTAGGGCGTTTGTTAAACTCTGTTGGGTCCCTGGACACTGCAACATATCGCTCAGTGAAGCCACCCTTATGCCACTTCTTCCAAGTACTGCATAAGCACTATCTTGTCTCCAAAAAGTTTTGGCCGGTGAATGGAGATCTAGGTCACCCATATCCATGACAAAGCTGAACTTGAAGCTTGTGATAGGCCTAATTACAGGACACTGCAACATAAAGGCCATGAAATCCAAATGGGGAGAGAGTGACGACACTGAATACTGCAGGTTTTGTGAGGACGAGGAGGAAACTTATTCTGCCACTACCCAACTCTTATAGGAGTGAAACAGAGGCTACTGGGTAAGCAACTTCTGCCAGACTTGTCCTCCCTCTCCGTCATCGAACCAGCAGTCATTCTTCAGCTAGCCAGAAGACTAAAATGGCTAAGAACGACACGTTAATACACCGTGGATGCAAACCTATCTGATGTGAGAGGAGATGTAGCGAACCACTCGATATTCGGTATTTTAATGATTTTAGCGGCATTAATCACCGGAATTGTTTCAAGTTTCGGATTTGAATACTGTAATGGCTTATGACAAAAGATACCTCTACAGGTCCACGTCGTCGTATAGACCCTAATATAACGACTACATTCGGTATTTTTAAGATTTCAACAGAATTTTTAAAGGATTTTATTATTAGTATTATTATTATTATTTTGTTTTTAAATTGCCAAATTTAAACTTACGGCCGAACTTACAGCTTTTCACTTGTTATTAACTTACCTTTAGAAATCCTATTAAACAGGGCTGGGGACTGGCATTCAGTAATCTTTCCAGACGATCACAAAACTCTTCGGGTTCTACGTTGGCATTTACAAGCTCCTGTATTAGATTGCGCACATTTTTCTCAACTGGTTTGGGCTCTCGCGTTGACAAATCTATAAGATTGGCTAAAAACTTTCGACACTTCTCTTTGGTATTACCCTGGGCCGCTGCACTTTGTGGCGTCGTGGTCGTTGTTGTCCCAGCACCGCCACTGTTGCCGCTATTCACATTGTTCATTGTTGTGTTATTTGTTGTTGTATGATGTTGCTGCTGTTGATTTGTTTGCTGTAGGTGGGCTCCGGATGAAGTTTGATGCGCTGGTATTGTTTGGATTTGAGTTATTTGAGGTTGACTTTGCAAATGTTGCGTCTGCGTATGGAATTGTTGTTGCTGCTGTGATTGTTGCTGCTGCTGGTGTTGCATTGATGTGACAACATTTGTCGTTGTTTGCTGTTGATGTGATAACGCCGATATATTTGCCTGGGATGTGTACACATGTGTGGGCTGGGAATTGGAGGAATTTGCCACTGAATTTACCACAATGCTATTGGCCGTAGAGGTATTTGATATTGACTAGAGATTTTTGCAGACAAAACAAATGATTAATTAAATGAGACAAAAGAAACAAAAAGACGGGAGGTTCAGCATAAGACGATTGGAATGGATATGAGTTTTATTTTCAAGCACTTGTAAAACAAATATTTACACAAACAAAATTGTTTTTGCACAATTAAACAATAAATTGTCAAAGGACAGAAAAAATCAAAAACAAAAATTACAATGTCTACTTTAAATGAAATTAAATTATTTTTGAAGCAGAAAAAAAATATTCTCATGATATTTACAAATAGGCAACACTGAAGCAATACTACAGCAAGGCAAATGATTTCTTTATATGAAAACTTAATTTTAAAAAAATAGGAATATTTGTGGCAAATAATATTTATTTCTATATAAAAAAAGAAAATTAACAAAACTCAAACATCTAGGCGAAACAGTAAAAACAAAATGTAATAACTTAAACCCAAAGATAAATTCGACAAATAGAATCACCAGCTACGTTTAGAATATAAGCATAGTTATAATTGGCAGGACCCCGAAAGTGATATCCATGAGGAAAATGTATGTATGTAATATATAATAGAAGCCTAATAATTTTACCAGCATAGAAAAAAGTTTATATACTATTTCCAAAAAAGTCTTTTAGGAAGTCCAATTTAAAAATGTGGTTTTGCAATATCGAACTGCAAATCTGTAACATAAATGCCAATGTCACGCATTTAGGCCTATATAAGGCCTATATCTTTGCGCCTTTTATGGAGTTTTTTAAAACTTTGGTCAAGATGCCTTCTTCTGCATGTATAGTTACTTCCAATAGATTATATGTAGAATATATTCCGTTTTTCACGGAATAAAAAGTTATACGATTTCTGAAATTGATTTATTTTCCCTCAGAGCTTAGCTGCAACTATGGCAAAGAGGGTAAAGCGCGGTGCCTACGACTAGCATAAGATTTTTAACTCTAAAGAGCATGTATATCAGATTCAGATTTCTACACAGAGAAACCATGGGGATCTGGTAAAATTGGCTGTTATAATATAAGGAAATCGGGCTGATACATAATTTTTATTCCCTCCATCATTCTATGGAAGGCATATTAGTTTTGTCATTCCGTTAGTAACTCCTCGAAATATTCATGATAGACCCTACAAAATATATGTATATTCTAGATCAGCGTAAAATTCTAAGAAGATTTCGCCATGTCCGTCTGTCTATGGGCCATATCGGTCCACGTTTACGTATAGCCCCCATATAACGGTACCTCTCGATATTCGACATTCTCATGATTTTAGGGGCATTACCGCAATAAGTTCAAATTTCGTATTTGAAGTTCGCAATGGGTACTACAAATTTTGTATGCGGGTCCACTTCTTCGTATAGCCCCCATATAACGTTACCTTCCGATATTCGGCATTTTCATGATTTTAGGGACATTGATGGAATTATTTAAAATTTCGTATTTGAAGTTCGCAATGGGTACTACAGCCTATGACAAAAAATTTCGTATGCAGGTTCACGTCTTCGTATAGTCCCCATATAACGATTTTCATTTAAGTGGTAGTTTTCACATTTTTTCAATTTTCCAAGTTCCTTCCAAATGGTGGAGGGAATTAAAAGATTGGACCGGACGAACTTAGCTGCCTGTTTTTCTTATTTGTTCAAAAAGTGTAGTGGCTTGAAGTTCAACATATTTTATCTTGAAATAATTATTTGTTTAGAGCGTAAAAATAGAGTCAGTTGAATAATGCGGATTTTGAATCAGTTTGCAATTTAAACGCAACCTGAACATCTATTATTTTTTCATTTCGGAAGTCAGTGTATTATTTGAAAAATTATAAAGTCACTGCATTTCTTCAACTGAATTGATCGTATAAGTATCGTATAATTGTGTGATTTAATTTATAATAAAATACCACTATAAAAATCAATATCAAGGACTCAACTAAACAACAAGAAACGAGATATAATAATTATAACAAAATCGTCCAAATATTTTCTTCATTCACTTTTACAAAAAAAAAGCATCAACAAATTCTGAGATTATCATCATCAAATTAAAAATAGAAAACTAATGTCATAATGAAAAGAAAAAATATTCAGAAAAGGATGAAGAGACAAGAGATGGATGGATCGGTAGTGAGATCCATCGTTAGCAAGGACAATTACATTTTGTTTTATCTGTTTCAACGTAGCTGTTGCCTGTTGTTGATGTTGTTTTTTTGCTTGTTGCTGTTGCGGTTGCGATTGCTGTTGTTGTTGCTGTTGGTGGTGATGGTGATGGGTGGTAGTTGTGGTGGTGGAGGTGGAAGTGGATGATCTTACAATCGTTTTACGTAGTGCTAAAGGTGGACCTGTGAATCTACTTACAGCAGCTGGAACAGTTTGCAAGCGTATTTGTGTTGGGTTTGTGGAATTAGTGCCAATTGTTTGTGTCACCGGGCCAGATGTAGCACCCCCTACGCGCAATAATTGATATCCATTTTCGGTTTTCAAAATGAGTGCAGGCGTTTGCCCCGGGGTTAGTGTACTTAGTGTAATCTACGGAAAAGAAATTCACAAAAAAAGAAGAAAAAAAAACGAAACGAATCAAAGGCGGGAAATTTAAGGATATATATATATATATATATATATTAATATAAAACAAATATTGTAGTTAGTAGATTTGGGATGGTAGTATTTCGTTTCTTTCCAATGAAAACAACAATTTACCATTCATTCCATTTTTTAGTAGTTGTTAAAAGTAAGTCTGGTTATGGTTTTTTTTTTTTGGTATTAATAATGGTGTTTTAAAGTTTACAATATACAGTTTCAATTTCTTTTTAATGTGAATTGTTTACTTACCGCCGGACTTTGAGGTCTCGTTCCCACCATATGTGGTCCTCCAACGACCACTCTCCCCATTGTATTACCTTGGACATTCTTTGGTTGTTGTTGTGAAGCAGGAGGACGCATACCGACTACTACACCAGCTGGTAGCATGGAATTAATAATTGGCTGACCACCCTAATCATTTCGAAAAAAAAAACGAAAAATTATTGTTATAATGTTTTAATATTAATAATTGCTATAATCTAAGTTATATTCTAAACTGTGTTTCTATAAGCAAACATTACTACTACCATGCAATTGTTTTTATATTAAAATAAACTGGATTTAAGCATACTAAGAATTGCTGTAGAAATAGTTTATATGAACTCAAAAAATGGTAAGGTAATGGTAAAACATAATAGAGGAGTCCATTTTGTTTGTCCGTTCATGAAGATAAGTAATTAAATGTTATGAATAATTTTGGCCAAAAGAAAAAAGAAAGACCATAATTTTATTTTTTTCGTATTTTCATTTGTAGAAATATGTAGTGTCACACTCATATGGAAACAACAACATAACAGAAGAAGAATCACAGGTGCTATGCGGAGCAATACGTTTTTTTTTTGAGACCAAATTTCTTGTCCGATAAAGCAATATCCATGTAGCACTGATATACAAATGTCTTACCTTGAGAAATAAAATATTACCCATTGAATTTACAAAAGCGGGATACGCAAAAATTAAGGAATTAATATGGGCAACTTTTGTACTAGAATATGGGTGCTATGGGTATTTTTAGATGGATGAGTTTTAAAAAATTCGAACTAGGAATGATAAAATAAAACAGTTTTGCCGACGAGACTTGACTTTTGATTAAACAAAAGTGTTGCCTCTTTATGGGGGAGGATCCGAAGCAGTTGGTCAAAATTGGTCAATTCGTGTCTGACCTAAGGCTGATACAAATATTACAACCTGACAAATTTCAACTCTATCGACTACTTCCTGTACTTGATATGAGATATGCAATTTTTTTGAAAATATACAAATATGCGTGATGTGACAGATATAGCGGACCGAAAATTCTCTTTTCATACTTCATCTAATACAGATAAAAATGTTGGTATGTGCAATATTTGAAGGAAATCGAACAAATTACATATTCATATCAGATTTCTGGTTAAGAGAAATATTTAGATGTAGCAAATTGTAAAGAATCGCCGCCTTGTTTCGCAAGCTATGACAGATATACGTTTGAAAATTGTGACCCTTTGTGGGAGGTGAAGTACCCGAAAGGGTTGGCAGATGTATATCATCTTTAAAACAGATCTTGTGTTAACAAAAATTTTTGCCTGTGAAAAATTTGAGGGGATGGATCGACGGATTTGGATGTTTATTTCACTTTCTTTGAGCGTTTTGTTTTTCAACATTTTGAAACCTATTTGGAGGGGGTGGTGTCTAATAAAACTGTTATGTCGAAGAGCACGTTTTGGTCGTATCAAATGATATACAAGGTGAGATGAAAAAACTGCAACCAACTTCAGACTGCTGTCATTTTTAATCCACTCGTCCGACAGTTGTTATAATAATCCCAGTGAATCATATTGTTAACAAGCGTACAAAAGCATTTTGGTGAAAATTTTCCAGAAAAAAAGTTATTTGTGATGGAATTCAAGCGTGATAGTGTGATTTCTTTATATTTGGCTGGAAAACCAAAAGTGGCTATCGTTAGAGCACTCCAGAATTTAAATGTGAATAAAACTTTTGTGTCTCGTACCATTGCTCGCTTTCGTGATACTGGTAGCGTGGCTCGACGTCAAGGAAGTGGACGGAAGAAACCAGCAACATCAACAGAAATGGTTCGAAAAGTAAAGAAGCGACTTGATCGAAAGCCGCGTTTCAGTGGCCAAAAAATGGCAAATATTAAAAAATGAGCTCGGGTAGCCATTGAAATTCCAAAAAGTGCAAGAACTTACACCGCAACAGAAAGAAAATAGACTTAAAAGAGCTAAAGAGTTGCTTCGCTTGGTCGAAAGTGAACTGCCGAATAGAAAACATTCGTTGTCCAGCAGTTTGTAAACAAACAAAATGATCGTGTTTACTTGCCAAAGAGGTCAGCTGAAAATGTGCACCTTCGGTTGGCCACCAGAACTCAAGCGCCGGCCATGGTGATGGCGTGGGCCGCCATAACAGCCGATGGTCGCTCTCCGCTCATATTAATCGATCGTAGCATCAGAATAAATGCCTTGGGCACGCAAACATTTTGCCCGCTGACCTTGAACATTCCAACAGGACTCAGCGCCATCGCACTCAGCACGCGCCGCCCAAGAATGGTTACAAAATGAGGTTCCTCGCTTCATTTCCAGCGCAAAATGGCCTCCAAAATCTCCGGATACCAAGCCGTTGGACTATTGTGTCTGGAGTGTTTTGGAAAGCAAGGTTGGCACTAAAAATACCAAAGAGTCGATCACCTGCAGCAAGCGCTTCGCCGGGAATGACGCAAAATACCGCAGAGCAACATTCGGGCAGCGTGTGACGGTTTCATTGGCCGTTTGAAGGCCATAATTCGTGCCAAAGGTGACCGATTCGAATAAATCTAAACTTATTCTATAATTTGATGCTTTCATTAATTTTTTTGCTTTCGTTCAACAAAATATATAAAAAAATGTAAAAACTATGGCGTTTGACTTTGTTGCAGTTTTTTATCTCACCCTGTCTACACTCTCTAGCCATAATGCTGAGGTTATAATAAAAAAATATATATATCACTCAAATGACAAAATTTAGAACAAATTAGTTATATGCATTACATTTCTGTGACATAGTAATATTACATGGTCCCGCTGTATCTTAATGCAAAATTTACTGCTCAAAAATGATGTACATAAATGGAAAATGCTAAAATATAGGGAACTCTACAACCTCCGGTAAATTCTGATAGAAACTGGCAACACATGTATTCAGGATAGAATATTATTAAGGAGTTTCTGTTTTCATCTGCAAATGTTATAATCATAATTATATGTTTTCTTAGTTAAGCATCTATATAAAGGGTACAAACTACAACTACTTAGAGCTACAAATCAACAACTATAAAAATTAAATTAAAATTTTGTGTAAAGCAAGCAACAAGTCCAGCGGCGTTTTCTAAGATATTTATGTATCCCACACATTTGTAAAAATTAAAAATATATATATATATTTTAAAAACAATGTTCTTTGCAAGAAAAAAAGAACATTTGGAAATTTTGAGGAAAGGGAATTTTAAGCTTGACACAGATCATTTTACAGTAATAAAACTAAGTCCCGTAAGCTTAGAGGAAATAATTAGCTTTCCACGAAATAAAATGAGTATTAACTTATAGTGCTAGTTTGGTATAGTTCAATTTTTGGCATCTATTCCACATGTGTCTTCTAAAAACAGTAACTATATAGTATCGGAAAATGGTATTCCGAAAATGTTTTCTGTTTCACTAATTATAGAAGCAAATAAACCAATTGACAAATGAGAAAGAAAAGATGAAGCGTGGAACCTTTTCAATTTTGGGTATTGCTAAAAGCAACCTATAATTTTTAGACAACGAGATCAAAAACAAAAAAAGAGTAAAAATCAAAAAAATATAAAGCTAGCACTATAATTTAATTTAAATGGAACAGAAAAAGAAAGAAAGAAAACGCACAATACGATCTGAGCAAATTAAAAGAATCCAAAAATATAGAGTACTATTTTTCGTTCAAAGACAATTGACTACAGGCTTTGGTATTCATATGTGGGCTATGATTGTTTTCCATATGGAGCCCATACCTGTTGTATGGTCTTGGTCATAGTTACTATTCCGGGTGCACTTGAGACAATACCCGCCGGTAATGAAACGGCATGATTAGATTTTATAACTAAAGTTTGCGTTTGTGTGGCACCTACTGATTGCTGTGGTTGCTGATTGCCACCAGCACCAACTGGATTGCCCTGTTGCTGACCTGCTGATTGTAAAACCTGATGATGTTGGACTTGTACCTGTTGTGGTAAAGAATGATGCTGCTGCTGTTGTCCAGCGGCACTGGATGTTATTGTCTTTATTGTCGTCGTATTGGGTAATTGTGATGTTGATATTATGGAACCGCCGTGTGCACCCCCAATATTGATGGTACCATTGGGTAGCTGTTGACTCGTAAATGTTATACGATTGCCGGGAGCCGCTTGTGTTGGTTGACTTGAATTCATTGCGCGTCAAACAATTTTCGGCAAAAATCTAAGCAGAAGGACTCTTTGGAAGAACACTTCAATGAGATCTTATGATTTTGTGCTGAGTGTGTGAGTTATTGCCAAGCTAAAGTTGAACCAACAACTTTGTTACTGTGTCTTCAGCTGGTTAATGGTTAATTATTTGATAATACTATTAGACGTTTCATTTTCGTTGATGCCGTTGTGATTTAGACACACTCAGAACTCGCTTTCATATTGCAAAGGGATGAATGCTGCTAATTTGTTAGTTGCTTGCTTCTTGATTGTTGTTGAGTTATTTTTATTGGTTTTGGTGGTAAGAATATTATTGTGGTTGAATGTTTTGGTATAGTAGCCGCTGCAAATTCATATGAAATCGAATCGGCCTGTTGCTTTATTCTATGTATATTTCTTTTTGCTTATTAAACGGTTGAGTTATGTATGTATTGATATTTTTGTTGCTGTTGCTGTTGCTTGGCGAGCTTTAAAAGTATAAAAATAAATAAAAACCTTTATTAGTAATAAACTTTAAAACATATCTTGTGTTTATGAATAAAGAAATATGAGTTACAAGTTGGGCATTGTTTTGAACATAATATGACAAGCACTCTGGTTTTTTTTTACACAAGAACACAGCACACACAAACATAACACATTTTAAGTCTAAATTTTAGAATTAGAATATAGTCTTTGTCAAAAAATATAGCAACATGAATTGGAGTCAACATCAATTGGAAACTATGTTGCATTAACCAACATTTTTACTATCTGAAGTCCTTGTCCAAGCAGTAATCAGAATCGTACTCGATAAAACAGAAATAATTGCAAGAACATAAGATAATGTTTCAGAATTTACCAGCCGCACTTCAAGATATCAATCATTAACCGGGTGGTGCAGGGTTTTATCCAGACCGTAGGATGTCATGTAGGATTTAACAGGGCATACAACTTGTATATGGCAAAAATATATTCTTAAGACACATCTCATAAAAAGTTTTGATAGGTAGAATAAGTCACAGGCACTGTTATATATTTAATGAGAACAAACTAAGTATAAAATTTGGTATATTCTTAAATCAGATTCCATAGAAAGTTTTTAATGAGCCAACGTGAAAACATAAACCTCTGTTGAAAATGTGTTTGTGGTCATACTTTCGCCGAGCGGAACTGGCTTCAATTTAAAAGGTCGACTATTTCACAATGGCATTTATGCCCTGGCAATGCTTTTCATTTTACATGAAGAAACTATTCAACAATTATTTTAGAAAAAAAAAGAGAAAATTGACAACGACAGAATTCCAAAACATAATCTTGAAAAATTTCACATATATTTAATAAGAACAATTCTGGTTAGGTTGTTGTTGTAACAGCCAGACTGCTGTGTCCGTTCTGACACCTCTCAATCGGGTCCTGCCTCAAGTCCAGTCTCAAAAAGGATGCAACCTGTACGGGTTGGGCCCACAACGAGACTGGAGTTAAGTGAGTACGTTTTGTTGGATAGCGAAATAGGTCCAGCGTGTCATGTAGACCTGTGCCACAAGCTGGGCAGATAATCTGCACATCGCTGTCAATCCGGGCCCACTGGGAATTGAGGCGGCTGCACCATCCGGACCTTAAATGAGCCAAAACTACTCGGGTTTGTCGGAGCAGCTCTCGCTCTTCAGCCGCGATGGGAGGGAGTTGTTCACCTAGTACAGTATTCACTATATCTATTTCAAACTCTATAAGAATTGACGTGGCTGCACCATCCGGTTCTTAACTGTGTCAAAACTATTCGGGTTTGTCGGGGCAGCTCTCGCTCTTTAACTGCGATGGAAGGGGATGGTCTTCTAGTACAGTATTCACTCTATATCCTTCCATGAATTCTGAGACCGCGTTAGAGTAAATACAATTCAGTCCCGCTTGATAGGCCTGTTAATCTAGAGGCTCGCTCTTAAACCTCTCTCTCTCTATATATCATGAAGGTCTTTCATTACGTGCCTGGGCGGAGGTTGCCTATCCACCAAATGGTTATTCGGATGGATCTGTCTGTAACACCTAAGGTAATATCATTCATAGAATGGCACAACCACCCCGTATGATGAAATATTTATACGGTTAATGACTTTTAGTCAGGGACTGGCAATAACAAATAAGATAAAATAAAAATCGATACTGGGTCTTGAAAACGGAGGAGAAATATCTCGCAGATAGCTGGAAAGAGAAGTTATAGTTTGCTCAATGCATTTTCTTGCATTATTTTTCATTCGGATGTAACAATTGAGGAATAACTAACTTTAACATCAGTAGTATCCTAGAATATGATATGAGCTTCTGAAACTCTAAGTTTGACAAAGATTTGTATGCCAATATCTGCTCATTTTGATTTTTATTAGAAAAGGAATAATTCAGATATGCCGATAAAAAGTCTATCTTTATATCCCTAGTAAGTACGATATAGGTATTTCAAAATTTTCACAATTATGACTTTGGTTGTTCTGATCGCAGAAGTATTTGACGTCGTGTGTCAAGATCTGATAGCAATTGGCTTGAAGCAACACAGAAACCACATTACTCGTCAAGCGTTTTCAAATGCTAATTTTAATATCAAAGATAAATACTAACTCAAGACCCCTTGGTCATCATGGACATGAGAAGTCGGACGTTAAAGATGCATTTAGGCGTAGGATAATAAAAAAGTGACTTTCTTTAAAATGTTTTTTTTTTTTTGAAAACAAATTATTTCGTCAGGCGAAAAGTGAATTTTCGTCAATGCAACATTGCATTTAAAGGATGGCCAAGAGCACTCCCCCTTCTACAACCCCTCGATATCTATATGTGTGTACATATTTTGTTTCTCATATCCATACAGACGATGCAGCAAATATTTGCATAATTGAAATATCGTTATGTTGTTATTGCTATTGGTTAAAGTTGTCAATGTCAAAAATATTTGCAATTTGTTCCAATAAATGTTTACACTGCTCCTTGTACACATTAATGGTGATGCTACTGCTGCCGTTGTTGTTATTGTGTACGTCTGTCTCATTATTTTTGTTTTATCTGCTTAGGCGCGCAGATTACATAGTAATCGTTGTTTACTTTTATCCGCCTCAATTGTTACACACCAGCGACTGACTGTTGCTCGCGACACTTTATTGGTCCACTTTCACAGATTAGTAGATGTCCCTCTTTATTTGTTTTGTTGCTATTGTAACAGATGTTTTGATGCTGACCGCAAAGGTAAAGGAGTGAGCTTAACAAATGAGGTGGAATATCCACTTCTCGGGCATTGCTTTCCTAGGGTAAAAGTTAAAGATTGATAAATACTTGAAGAAAACCAACAACAAACGACTTGCAAATGTTCCGAAGTGTTATTTCCCCAAAAAATAGGTGGTCTCTTTTGCAACTCTCTACCGCCGCTGGGGGAGCATCGAAATTGTACATTGATTGTTTGTATGTTCGTCAGGTCGACACCAGTATATGATAATCTTTTGTATGCGTCTCGGTAAATTGTTTTCGTAGGTTGATTAACACGCTACCGTTTCATCATTCCAATGCAATTTCTTCCGTTCAATTCACTTATATTCTTTATTTTTGATACTTAGGTAAATTTGTGACATATTTATTTGGTGAAAATTACGTTTTTTGTGAGTAACTGCTGTGTTTTTAGGTAAATTTAAGTTTCGATGGCAATGGAGAAATTCAATGAACTCAACAACGTCACTATCATCACAAGCAAAAGCAGAAGCAGCACTGGAAGAATTTGAGTAAGCTGCTTTATTTTGATTTTTGATGTACAAAAAATTTGGCAGAAGAAAACAGCGACGCCGCCATTTTCCATTTGAATTGTAATAGATTAAAGTGACTTTGACAAATGCAACGCTGCTGTGACTGGAAGTAAAATAGTGTTGCCACATTTTTGCTTTGACATCAATGTTGCATATTCAGCGTTTTTGCTTTATTTTTTGTAATACAGATTAGTTATTTTACGCCATGCAACTGAATGCAACAGATTGAAATCATGTTCCATGTGGAGCAATGATGGTATTAGCCAGAAATTTACAGGCAGATATTTTTAACCTGATTACGGAAAAGTAATTTTTCGGTTGAAATTCATGGTTATTCGACCCGAAAGTTCGTATAAAAAATTCGAGTTTTATTCGGCTGTACCGAAGCAAATCATGCAATATAGATATAATTTAAAAGCTTATTGAATTACCTACCCAACGATGAACATGTTAAGGGTTATTTTAACCAATTCGGGAGTTATACAAGAAAGTTGGAATTTTTGACAGATTTTTATGAAATCCCCACAAAAAGTCGATAGTGGGTTCATTGTGTGGCAATAAAATCTATATACCAGACATATGTGTTGATGTCTGCTCAGTTCGAAATGTTTAAGAATAACAATTTTTCACTTACGGAAAGTATTTTATCAGATTTAAGACGCATTCTTTGTTTTAAAAATCTTCAATCCCGACATATTTTATTGGAGAAAATCTCAATATCATCGACCAATTCCCAAGTTTAAATCAATGAAATAAGATTATTGTTATTAAATTAAATGTCCAAGTAAAAACTCTTCGTTTTACTGGAAAATTTGGCAACGAGATGTCTTCAAATCAAAACAAACAGATGTCACATGGAGACTAGAAAGTATGGAAAAATTCAACAGTAAAAAAGTCCTAATTGCGATATAAATATCGAGCACTTTTGCTCAAATTTCATAAAATATGTGATATTGTATTTGGTATAAAAATCAAATTTACCCCGTGCTTTAAGCCATTTTTCCTAATTAAATTTGATTATACACTGGATGAATTATGCCCTTCCATATATATATTATGTGCCAAAACATTAACCTTTAGGTTCGCAAACTTTTTCTTATCGATTTTTTGAACGTAGAAAATGTATTCGTGAAATGTTTATATCTACTCACAATCTAATAGAATTAGCTGAAAGAGTCTTCTGAGCGGAAATTCGGCTCATTCTTTTAATTTTACAGAAGAATCAAATAATTTTTTACCATATGCCGTTTTTTATGTGAATAGCTTGTTCCAAGTTATAAGTTAAAAAAACTAACAATTTTACGAGAACAACATAATAAAGGTGAGAATACATAAGCAGCTTGAAGTCTTCGCATGACATATTTTGGTAACATATCATAAAAGAATGCCAAAGCCGTACTAGATCCACCCGTTATTTTTCCCTATGATTTGACATAAATATGCCAAGCCATGATGCCAAGCTGCTTATGTACTTACACCTTACCTTAAGAGGGTTTTATGTCAATTTAAGTTTCGGGAATTTATTGCATTTTAAAAAAGAAAATAGATATCTCATTCTTATTTTATGCCGAATTTAACAAAGTATTATCATGATTACATTAGAGCAATGAAATTGACGTATACTCACTAGGTTAACTGAATCAGGAAAAATGTAAACGTACTATAAATTTAAAATAATTTTTTGGAAAATATAAATATCTGGACAAAGAATGCCAAAGCCGTACTAGACCCACCCGCATTTTTTCCTTATGATTTGACATAAATATGCCAAGCTGGTTATGTACTTACACCTTATGTCAATTTAAGTTTCGGGAATTTATTCCATTTTAAAAAAGGAAATAGATATCTTATTCTTATTTTATGCCGAATTTAACAAAGTAATATCATGATTACATTAGAGCTTTTTGCTGGGTTAGCCCTCCTAATGGATTTATTTGACGTATATGCAATGAAATTGACGTATACTCACTAGGTTAACTGAATCAGGAAAAATGTTTAAAATAATTTTTTTGGAAAATATAAATATCTGGACAATCTTAATTCTGACAAATTATTTTATAAATAAAGTCCATAGCCTGAAAATGTTCGAGTTCTTATTAACAAAGATAGATATTGCAACTTCTATGATGACGATATTTACTATTCTTGTGACCGAATTAACATCAACACATGTATACCTCGATACAACTTGTTGCATTTATATTCTTTCTTTAATTTAATCAAAATTCCAATGGATGAAACACTCTCTGATATTAGAGCGAAAAAACCGCAAAATTGACAATACTAAAATATTTTGACAAGTTGTCACATCAGGTAACATCACAATAACTGCATGATTGCTTTGCATTTTTCCCCTGTTGAAAGAGCGAGAAAGATATATGATTTGACAAAGCAACCATATAGCGCCACCTGGATAATTACACAAAAACAAGCATGACATTGATTTGCCGAATGTAGTAGAAGGCCAAGTAACCAACAACATACCAACAAAAACAATGAACAAAAATTAGGTACAGAGACTTAATTAGAGAAAAATCAACATTCGCCCGGAAAGACCCCCCAAAAAACGGCAAATTATTGCAGGAATTTGCTGGTAATGGGTATTTTATAAATTCAAATAACCGGTATCGAGCGTATTTCACAATTACCGATTACCATTCCAGCAATCAGTACTTCATTCATATCACACAATACATGATGTATGGCTGCTTTCATTCCATACAGTGCCCAATACTGTACCACATATACACATTTGTTCTCCGATGCTCTCAAATCACCTTATTTTCCGTATTCCACAATCAATCGATTCGGCTACAGTAGTGGGATTTAACTTCTCTATTCCAATTTGCTCGTTGGCCCTTCGACAATTTGGCTGCACGAAAATGAATTTTGTTATATTTTTTGTAATTCTTAGACTAATCCAAAGCGGGCTTTTCTTTCCGTAGGCTAATTTCACTTTGCACCTTGCACAAACACTTTGTAATTTGTATGACTCTGTATTATAATTTTCTTCCAACACAATTTTCTCTTTCTTCTTCACTTATTTCGCAAACACCGTCAAAATTTTTCATTTATTTTTTCACACCATTACATATGATTTTTCTTGAAAACTTCATTGGCCATATATTCTTAAATGCATCGCGATCATTTTTCATACAAATTTACTTGAATATTTCGAATATTTACGTGATTTTCGTGTTAAATTTTGTTTACGACTCAATGCGACCCGCACTTTTTTTCATTGCAATCACAAAATCAAACTGTCGAACAGGGATACGTAGGTCGACTTTCGATTGATCGATTAATCACGTCAAAGCCGACTATTGTCTGTGGTTATCAAATCGTAGAGGCGGCTTTTGGTAATCGATTTTCGATTTTGAGATCATAGTGATATTGTGCTTTTCATTAACGCGTATGTAATAATAATGTAATTAATTATTGTTTTCAGATCCACAAAAAGTCGAAAATTTATCTTATCATCTGTTGGCTAACTTTATTGTGAAAAATGGTAATCGAAAATCGATTATTATCTGAATACATAAATCGAAAAATGGAAAAGTACATATTTTGTTGAATGCATAAGAAAAAAATCATTCCAAAAGTGAATTTTTAATTAAAAAACAAACATTTATTAAAATTATGTGGACATATCGACATAGAAAAACAGATCATGAAAGTGGAATTTTGTGAGAGCAAAATGTTGAAAATGACGATAACTGATTTTCCTTTTATGAAATCGAAAAAAAAACGGCAAAATTAAAAGATTCTTGCAGGTTCTGGAACAGGCCAGTAGTTTTGAAAAACAAATTTTTTCAAAATCAATTATTGGAAGAAACTTAAATTGTGGGGCGCGCATTAATGATATTAATTAGATTTGCCATGGAATTGAAAGATTAAACACTTATGATGAATTTTGAATAATTCTGACAGGAAGTGGACATAGCCTCAGGGTTGTATTTCTGTAGTTTTACGAAGCTCCTTATTGTACGATGATCTCAATATGGAGGCGCTTGATAAGAAATAACGGATGACTCGTTCATTGTGCCATAGACATAATTTAAGCATTCTTTGAAAAAAATAAAATATTTTGTTATTTTGTCTGAAATTTTCAATTTTATCAATGTCAATTTTGTTCTGTCAAAGTTTGAGTAATTCTGATAGGTAGCGGTCATATCCATTATTGTAACATACCACTTTTTAAAAAAACATTAATAAAATTGAACGATTAGTATTTCATTCAGAGAAGTGGTCATATTTTTGATTTTCAATCATTTAATAATGAATAATTGTTTCGCAAGTGCCTTGTAATAACTACCTTACGTCGTCAATAATCAATCACTATATTTGATATCACTTCACTGGGCAGAGAAGAAGAGGAATATTTACCGAAATAGTAACTAGCAGTGAATGCGAGAGTTATACGAGCAAAACGAAGAGGAAGAAGGCGGTGAACATGGCTAGATACCTGGGGTTATTTAACAACTTTTATAAATGTACACTACAAAATTCCATCACAAAAAATGTTGCATATCCCCAAATTAGCCCCATCTTGAATATTGTGCGACACACCAGCTTCTTCAATAAGCTTCCCGCAGAACATTTATGGAAGGGTGTTACTGCTGTAAGTAATGCTGGCAAAAAGCGTGGTAGAGGTAAGGGCACTGGAAAAAAGGTCGCCAAGGATTTGAATCGTGGCCAAACAATTGGTTTTGGCAAGAAAAATGTAGTCTGGCCCGGTCTTAATTCACCCATAATAAGAGGCAAAGAAATTGTTAGGCAGCAGGCACTGCCCGAAGACCCTGAAAGAGAAAAGAATATTCTCAAGTTGAGAGATTCCTATGGAGGATTTCGTCAGATAAAAGTAAGTCCTATCGATCGTGGCTGGTCAGGATCTAAGTTACCGGGACGCAGTATTGGAGCTCCAGAGGGCGAGAGCGAAGATTCATTCGAGGGCTTTGACACTCGTGTACTTGAGAATAAAATCGTTTTCATCATGAAAGGTAACATGGGCCGAACAAGAAGATTTTCCGTTATGAGTGTAACTGGTAATGGAAATGGACTTGCTGGGTTCGCCACTGCCAAGGCCCCAGAAGCACGTACTGCCCTGAGAAAATCAAAGAACAGAGCTGGTCAGAAATTAATGAAATTCGAACTCTGCGATAATCGTACCGTTTTCCACGACTTCTATTGTGCTTTTGGAAAGACCAAAATATTTGTATCGAAAAAACCAGAAGGATATGGTCTTGTCTGTCATCGAGGCATTCAAACAATTTGCAAGGTTTTGGGTATTAAGGATTTGCATGCCAAAGTTGTTGGCTCGACAAACATACAGCATATTGTAAAGGCTTTCTTCATTGGTCTTCTACAGCAGCGAACTCACGACCAAATTGCCGAAGAGAAGAAACTGCATTTAGTTGAATTCTCCAACGACAAAAATGGTCTGCCAAATGTTCGTGCTTTTGCCAAAGATTGTCGCAAACCTGAAGAAATCGCCAAGGATGAGATAATGGATTTCACACAGTACGTGTTGGGCGATAAGATTGTATTGAAAAAGAAGAAGTTTGAACCATTCTACACAAACACCGTGGGTCATCAATTATATCTCAGAAAACGAGATCCCCTGCGAAATCAAGAGCAAGTTAAAATCGATATGTTGGTGAATTACAACAAAATTGGTAGCTTTTTAACAGACAAAGATATACAATAGGGAATTTTTGATTTAATGTCAAGTTGTTCATGTTATGCGAAATAATAAAATTATAATAATTATATAAAACAAAACTTTCGTCGTGTTTTTAAAGGGATCTTTCCAAAGGGTGTTTAGGGTAAATAACAATAGGCTACATTTTTTGTAAAACAAATGATAAGAAATTATATCGACTATCGCAGTGTTTAAATGATACACCTTGAAACAACGGGTGATGGCTGCAATAATACACCAGAAGGCACTACATAGCTATAGTAACCTAATCTTCTCGTGTGGAAGATTGACATTGGGCCAAATCAATTGCAAATCGGAAATGGAAAGTTTTGCCAAAGAAATGTTACCAAAATGCTTAAGTACCATTTTTTGGATGTAGATAAACCCTCTAGAATACCAAGGAGCCTTGCAAGCAGTTGTCTATATATATCTGGTAACAATTATAGTCTTTTAACCCAAAAGTCAAGTAAAAGATGGTGAACCAATAGAGAATTTTTGATAGTTATGTTGCTGAGAATTTTTGAATTTTACTGGGAGAAATTTGTCCAGTAGGATCTAGCAAATTCAAACAGGGGCTGGATTCTTGTTCATGAAAACATTTCGTTTAGAAATTTAACAGATTTTTATGCAATAATAACCACTAAGGAAAAGTCAAAAGTCCGGCGTGGCCGACTGATACCTTACCCCACTATGCATACTAAGTAGAGCACCTTATCAACATTTGGCTTTAGAGCAGTTATAGTTTGGTTTCAGAGGGAACTAATATATGGGAACTAAATTTGAAGGAGACATTTTAATATTTTCCAAATACTATTGCTATAGTGCATGAGAGAATTAGGATTATATTTAAACAAATATATATATAGGAGCAGATTTCCATAAAATGGAAACGTACGCCCCGAAATTTACTCCATTTGGGATGATATTAGCCATTATTTGCACAATAACCTGAAATCGGATTAAGAATATATATGGAAACTATCGTCGATCTCAAAAAAAGTTGGCAAATGTATTTCCGAGCTTTATAAGATATCTAATACCAAATATTATTGTTGTCGAATGCATATTACGAATGTCAGGGATTTAAACACCAAATCGGATGAAACAAATATATGAGAGTCATAGCTATATCTGAACCGATTTTCTCTAAATTTGATGTACTTGCTGCTAGGCTAAATTCGGACGGATGTAACAAAATTTAGGAATTTTTTACAGATATTGGTGATTTGTTGCATAATTAACCCGAAATCGGTTGAAGATATATATAAGAGCTATATCAATAAAATTAATAAAATTTGGCAGAGGTATTTCCGAGCTCTATAAGATATCTTGTACCAAATATCGTTTTTGTCGAATGCATATTACGAATGTGAGGGACTTAAAGACCAAGTCGAATGAAACATATATATGGGAGCTATAGCTATATCTGAACCGATTGCACCAAATTTGAAGTACTTGTTTTGTAGGATGAATTCAGTCGTAATTGCCAAAATTCAGTCCATTTGGGCTGATATTAGCCATTTGGTTCACAATAATTCGGACGTCGGAAAAAGATATACATGGGAGCTATATCTAATGAATTCAGTCGTAATTGTTATTGTTTAGTTTTTCTATCAGGTAATAGATGACAGATGTCATGAGAAAAATCCATTAGAAATATTACAAAAAATATGTTATTCCTAGATCGCAAAAAAAAAAAAAATGACGGAAAACCGCGGGAAAAGCAATATATATGACATACACGGGCTCAAAAATTCATTCCAGAGCAATTCCGTCTACATTTAACCGAACATAAATGCCATGCATAAATCGACTCAGAAAGTGATTCTATGATCTCGCTTCCTTCTCCCTGTTACAAACACATTGCACAAGACATATGATGTAGGGTATAAAAAGTAATTTTTTTAAATGAGTATACTTCAAATTGTAAAAAAACATTAGGTTCGGCCTGGCCGAACTTTAAAATCCCTCCACATTATGTGGGCTGCATCATGATTTCAACCGACAAACGGACATATCACTAAATCGACTCAGAATTTTATGTTGATCATGGGGTCTACAACGAATATTTATAGGTCTTACAAACGGAATGATAAATTTAATATTCCCTCCCTTCCATTGTGGATGATATAATAAACATTCTAATTTATTCAACAAGAAATTTATACCATGTAAACGCTAGTGGAGAAATTGAACGCTAGTTATGCGCTAAATTCGAATCAAATTTACTAATGTAAACATGTTACCAGCAAAAGTTCAAAAGACAACGTGGTAATAACACTTGGTCGATAAAAACGCGCTTAAACTTAAGTTTGTGCTATTGACCACTAGGTGTCACTAGGGTAAGGGCAAAACAAAATTCTAATCAAATTAAATCATGAAAACTTTCCAAATATTCGAATTTATTGCCCTATAATATCAATATCATTGAAAATAATAAAACAAATTATTTATTTTTAATTAAAATAAATCACATAAACTGTATTTGTGTATTTTCAACATCACATATGTATACGATAGGGATATACTTAATTTTATATAAATAATAATAAAACATTGATATGTTTTGAATAATTTGTTCCACATTGAACAATCAAAGTGTGTGTGTTGGTTTCAGAGACCGATTTAAATCTATTCAATTTTATAAAATATTTTATTTTTTTTTTTTGAATGATAACAATAATAATTATAGACCTAATTTAAAAGTAAACAAAATAATATCAACAAATTATAATTTATAACAATACGAATACAAAAACAAAACAAGATAACAATAACAACTTTTAAATGACAAAGTAATAAAGAATGTGCGAAGCAGATTTGTTTTTTCGCTGGATTTGTGAATTTGCATTCGTCGATGGCATCTTTGTGGTCGGTCATCAACTGGACAACTGGCATAGATGCTCGTTCAAATAAATATGATTTTTTATTTCTTTTTTTAAGCTCTTTTGCTTATTATTTTAATGGAGCCTCGATTACAACAGGTTTTCGTCGTTGCACCACGTAGTAAATTAGACATATCGCTGCCACCCCAAAGCCACCAAACAATGCCGCCCAGTGGATAATGTCCAGAGTTTTAAGAGTGTTGATGAGACGTTTCTTAAAGAAGGCCACCATTTCATCGTTCAATTCAATGCCCTGTAATATAAGAATTAAAATGCAGATTTTACTTTTATCAAATATCAAAAAAAAAAAAGAAAAAAAAATCAAAACATCTTTAAGTTTTGAAAACAAAAAGATTGGGGAATATTTGGGCTATAATAAAAAATCGTTGTTAGTTTTTTTTAAAGAAATTTCTAGGCCTTTGTTTGTAATTGTTACTTTAATATAGAACATATGCAAGAATGTGAATTAAAACAAAAAGGATTTATGACCTTTTTAAATTAAGTTAATAATACAAAAATGGTAGGAAGACATGACAAGACAAGATAAAATATTGAATTAAAGTGCAGCAGTAATGATTCGTAGTTAGTATAATTAGGAGTTCTTACAATAAGCATTACAATATGTCAATTGTATCATTGCGTCGGAAAAGCAACTTACCTCTTCCACCCATATCGCCGGCATTAGGGATGTTGTTAAATTTTCTGTAATTGATATGCGATTGATGCTTTTTAGAAACATATTGAACTGCACACGTTTGCCTCCCTGAAGAGGGGTACCAGTCAACTGAAATTAAAAACAAAAATATATGCGAAATCAAGAGTCGAGTTTAAATATAATTTAGGAAGTTCCAAAAATTTTGGGAAGGAAAAATAAAGAAGGATCATTTAAAAGTTAAGCAATAAAAATAGTTTGATGGGACGAATATCTGCTAAATACAGGGATAAATGAAAAAACTGCAACCAACTTCCGTCTGCTGTCATTTCTAAGCCACTCATATTACAGCCGTTAAAATTATTCTAGTGACAGCTCATTATATTGTTTACAAACGTACACAAGCATTTTGCTGAGAATTTTCCAGAAAAAAAATTATTCGTGATGGAATTCAAGCGTGATAGTATGATTTTTTTATATTTGGCTGGAGATCCACAAATGGCTATCGTTAGAGCACTCCGCCATTTAAATGTGAATAAATCTTTTGTGTCTCGTACCATCGCTCGTTACCGTGATACTGGTAGCGTAGCCCGACGTCAAGAAAGTGGACGGAAGAAAACAGCACCATCAACAGAAATGGTTCGAAAAGTAATGAAGCGAAAAATGGCTCGTGAGCTGAACATATTGCAATATTCCATTCGGCAAATATTGAAAAATGAGCTCGGGGTAAAGCCATTGAAGTTCCAAAAAGTGCAAGAACTTACACCGGATATCAATCCGTTGGACTATAGTGTCTGGAGTATTTTGGAAAGCAAGGTTGGCACTAAAAAATACCAAAGTGTCGATCAGCTCGCAGAGCAACATTCGGGCAGTGTGGGATGGTTTAATTGGCCGTTTGAAGGCCATAATTCGTGCCAAAGGTGACCAATTCTAACAAATCGAAACTTATTCTAAAATTTGATGCTATTTCCGACATTTTTTGCTTTCATTCAATTAAATTTTAAAAAAATGTAGAAATTATGGTGTTTGACTTTGTTGCATTTTTTATATCAACCTGTTCAAATTTGTTGTTCTGGGTAAACTCGTCACGCGTTTTTCTACGCCTCGTGCTTCTTATTTTATCGACAACAAAGGGACAAAGGCCAAATCAGAAAGAAAGCATTGCACACTTTTACATCCAAAATCGATAAAACAACAACCTATGTGAATTGAAGGGGACTAAAGAGAATACGAGCGTTGGTAGGTGCATCATCAACGCTTGGGAACATTGATATGTCAGAAATTTTAAAATGTTTTTTTTTTTTAATAAGTAGATTCGTATAAGTTTTCTTATACGATACCAATCGGAGGTTGTTATGATATGAATTTTTCTTCAATTTTTACAAATTTGAATTATTTTTCATTCAGAATTTTCAATTTCAAAATTGGTTCGACAGTTTATAGTTCCAGAAGCTGTGTCGATGCGACTACCTTTATTCTTCTACCATGGAGTGATTTTTAGCTATTGTCTGGTTTAAACACCTCACGGATGTTTGATGTTTTGTTTCACTGTCAAACATCTTCCGTTTGATCGTTAACTTAACCATGAAACGTTCGTTCAAATTTCGTATTTAAAGTTCGTAATGGGTGCTACAGGCTATGACAAAAATTTTTGTATGCAGGTCCCCGTCTTTGTATAGCCCCCATATGACAGTACCACCCAATACTCGGTATTTTTATGATTTGTGCGACATTATTCACCGGAATTGTAACAAAGTTCGTAATGGGTACTACAGTCTATGACAAAAAAAAAAACGTATGTAGGTTCTCGTTTTCGTATATGCCCTATATAAAGGTAACTCCCGATATTCGGTATTTTCATGATTTTAGCGACTTTATTCACCTGAATTGTTTCATATTTGGTATTTGAAGTTCGTAATGGGTACTACAGCCTATGACAAAAAATTCCGTAAGCAGGTCCGGAAGTTTTTTTTAAATTTTTTAAGTTTCTTCCAAATGGTGAAGGATATTAAAAGTTCAGCCCAACCAAACTTAACTACATTTTTACTTGTTCATAACTTAATCTTTTCGAATTCACAAATGTATGGCTATTTTATTTCTTGGTTTCCAAATCGTTGACAAGGAGCTTAAAGGTGGGAATACATAAAGCGCTTATTTGACTGGCTTAAGTCATCGGCTGGCTTCTTCGTAGGGGAACAAAGGAGTTTTAGGTTGACTTAGTTCGAATTTGGCTCCTTTGTTCATTTCCGTAGAAGCCAGCCAAATAAGCGCTATATGCAGTCCCACCTTAAGTCAGATGAGAGAGAAAACTAATTTTAATTTAGTTTGATTTTACGACACCGATAAACTTTAAAATTTTTATTCGAGATTTTAATTTTTCCTGAACTTTTTTAAATTACATAATTTTTTTCTCTTTTGCGAGGAATCAAGTAGAAATTTGGTAAATAAAGAATCGAACAACGAATAAAGAGCTAATCACTTTCCATGTGAACTTAGTATTATGGATGCGTCGACACAGCTGCTGGGACAATGAACTGTCAAACCAATTTTGGAATTGAAAATGTTGAATGAAAAAATATTTAAATTTGTAAAAATTGTTGAAAACGCGTATTATAATAGCCTCCGATTGACGTAGTATAAGAAAACATATAAAAATCTACTTATATTTGAAAGAAAATTTAAATTTTTTTGACATATCAATGATCCCTAGCGTTGATGCATCTACCTGTATTCCTCTGCCAGGGCTATATATAAAATATATTTGCTCTGTTCCAGAACCTAAAAAATCTGTTAGCTTTGTAACACCATAAAGAGAAAATCGGTTATCGTAGTAAAAAGTTTTTTATTCTCGCAGTTCTGGAACAGAGCAAATATTTTTTAATAGCTTTTGTTATATTGGACATGTGATGCACCTAAAATTTTAAGGGTTTTCGATATGCAATATGCAGGGATTACTTAAAGCTTCGAATTATCGGAATTGCACAATATCTATGCGTTTACTTACATGTTGTACATCGACAAAGGTTTGATGTATTTTAGCATCCGGTTTCAGGCCTTTGATAGTCTTCGTGTATTCATTCGAAGCGCCCAGCATGTGGGGTAATGTCAATATCACAGGTGCATCTAGAAAAGACCAGAAAACCATCAAATTAAAATACATGTCCAAATAATGCAAAAATATATTTTATGGTGTGTTTTTATTTCGATACACAGATTTAAAGAGTTCGTCGTCCTTTGGCTGACGTAAAGATCGACTATTTTGTTTTCGAGAAAAAAAAAAAAAAAAACAAACTTGTTGTGGCGTTTAAATGGAACTGCATTCTTAAAATCAAATAACAAACACCACAATTATTAATTAAATTTTATTATTCACTTGCAATGTTTGTCTTGATGGAGGCTTAAAAACAAGTCAATATAAGAATGTCATATTTTTGATGACAACAGAAAAATTAATATTTTTTTTATTATTTAAGGTGTGAATTTGTGAAAAGAAATTAGATGTACATCGAACAAGTTTTAATAAAGTGTGTTATATAGATTGTCAAGTCCATTGATTAAATATATAATAAATAATGAATCTTCGTAAAATACGTAGTTTAGATGTCGGTACATATTAGAGCTCGATTAAACTACTTAATCCACCCGATTTTAAAAGTCAACTCACACGTCACGTAAATCGTATTCATATCCCGTAAGTAGTATTTGACGTATACGCTATGGAGTTGACATATAAAATCGGGTGGATTTCGTAAGTCTAACCTGCTTTGAGACTATGTCAATTCCATGGTAGAGGAGTATAGGTAGACGCATCGACACAGCTGCTGGGACAATGAATGAAAAATTATTGAAATTTGTAAAAATGGTTGAAAAATACATATCATTAGAACCTCCGACTTATCGACTTATTTTTGACAAGGCACTTAAAAATGTTGACATATCAATCAATGTTCCCAAGCGTTGATGCATCTACCTATATTCTTTACCACGGTCAATTCCATGGTAGAAGAATATAGGTAGGCGCATCGACGCAGCTGCTGGGACAATGAACTGTCAAACCAATTTTGGAATAGAAAATGTTGAATGAAAAATTATTTGTTGGTTTTCTCTTTCGAGACGAGCTTAATGATCTGAAATTTGCAGTGAAAAGTAAAGCCAGATAAGCCAGATAAACTTTGCTGTGAAAAAGATCTGCCAGACAGGCAGATCTTTTTCACAGCAAAGTTTTGTTCAGAGCCATTAACCCGTCTTCCTAAAGCAGCACTAAAACAAGTGTATGCATTGGAAGCAATGTAGTTGTTGTGGACAAAAAATCCATCACTACAAAAACAAAACTTTTCTGTGAAAAAGATCTGCCAACATGATCTTCGCCTTAACAAGGCAGAACCCGAAAAATTATTTAATTTTTTAAAAATTGTGGAAAATGTGAATTATAATAACCTCCGAATGACGTCGTATAAAAAACATATAAAAATCTACTTATATTTGAAAGAACACGTCTTCGTATAGCCCTCATCTAACGGTACCTCCCGATATTCGGTACTTTGATGATTTTAGCTGATTAGCTGTGCGGGTCCACGTCTTCGTGCAGCCCCCATATAACTGTACCTCTCGATATTCGGTATTTTGATGACTTTAGCGATATTAATCACCGGAATTGTGTCAAATTTGGAATTGGAAGTTCGTAATGAATAGTACAGCCTAATTTGGCTATTTTTTTGGCTATTCCAACTGAATTCATCTTAGGAATAAATACTTCAAATTTGGTGAAAAGCGGTTCAAATATAGCTATAGCTCCCATATGTATGTTTCATCCGATTTGGGGTTTTAAGTCCCTCACATGCGTATTATGCACTCCAGAACAATGATATTTGATACCGGGCATAAGATACTGCTCGAAAATACCTCAGTTCAGATTTTTATATAGCTTCGATCTACATCTTCGTCGGATTTTACTTTTACTTTTTTAATATAATTTTAATATCTATCGAATTTTACAATTTAGTGGAATTTGGTCCGATATACCAATAAATATTTTTTGAAATAATCCTTATCGAAGTCATGCAATGTTATTTGGTTCAGAGTTGGTATGATCTACTTTACATAAATTCCCAATATAAACTTTTTTGTTATGTGAATTCTACTTAATACGCATTGTGGTGTAGGGTATCAAATAGTAGGCCCCGACCGACTTTTAACCTTTCCTTACTGTTTTTTTTTTATATTTTATTTGCCATGCCAACATTTGTTTATATTTACTGTCATTGAAAAAAATACTAGACAGTAAGGAAATTATATCGATCTTCTAAGTGTTAGTAAAATACAACTCTGATTTGAGTCTATTTGCCAGGTATGGACAAAGGCATACGTAAAGTAAATTTGTGATTTTCACCATAGTGCTATTTTAAGGTACATACTTTGGATAAACATGTCGAAAAATATCTAAATTTATTTCGCCATCAACTAGTACTCAATTAGTTCCATGTACAATCAGGTATACATATTTTGAATATATTAGAGATGCCCGTTAAATCATTTCCGCATTTAAAAACTCGCATATACTATAAATATTTTATTGTTCTTATTAGGAGATCTTATGCCACAGCTATTTGAAGCTAATAAATATTTCAAGTGTTTTAAAAATTAATTGAAATATCCACATGAATTTGTTGAACACATCTTACAATAGACCAATAAAATAAATTCTGACATAAAAATTTAATGTTAGTGGAACAATGATTTAATTATCTATTATTGTTATGCCATAGAAATTTTATTGTACATTAACAGATAATATATTTAATTAATTAACTTTAGGTCATACCGGCAGTAATTAAATAACATATTTTATTGAAAATGGACACCTCCATAGCAATAATTTTGAGAAAGCATTAACATTAATATTTTGAACAGAAATGTTGTGTTGCTTTAAATGTTAGCAACTACAGCATCGATTGTTTAATGCAAAGATATGAATTTTGGTGGAGAGTTAGAGTTTACCGAAATAAATGAAATTTAAAAAGTCCACATGGATCCCATGTGCGCAAAAGAGGTATTCGGTGTCACGGGTGAACGTTTTTATATAACAGGGTGAAAAAACTGCAACCAACGTCATACTGTGAATTCCAACAAGACTCAGCACCATTGCACTCAGCACGCGCCACCCAAGAAGGGTAACAAAATGATGTTCCTCGCTTCATTTCCAGCGCACAATGGCCACCAAAATCTCCGCATATCAATCCGTTGAACTATTGTGTCTGCAGTATCTTGGAAAGCAAGTTTGGCACTTAAAATACCAAAGTGTCGATCACCTCAAGCAAGCGCTTCGCCGTGAATGGGCCAAAATACCGCAGAGGAACATTCAGCCAGCGTGTGACGGTTTCATTTCCAAAAAACCATAAAATGGGTTGGGCTGTTGTATGGGGGCCATGTCAAAACGGGAACCTCTAAATACCAAATTAAAAAAAAAAAACATTCGTGGGTAGGATTATAAAAAATACCAAATATCTGTGGGTATAGTTACATGTGCGCTATAGGAAAACGTGAACCAATGTATTCAATGTTCTGCCACCGGAGGTAGTACCAATATTTAGACAAATCAGTGGGAAACTGTGGCAAAAATCATCAAAATACTGAATATCCGAAGGTGCCATTATGTGGGGGTATACGAAAACGTGAACCTATGCATACTCTGTTCCGCCACAGCAGCTAGAACCCATTACGTTCTACAAATACCAATTTTTAGACAAATCCGTGAAAAAGTGTGGCAATAATCATATCAATACCGAATATCAGGAGATACCGTTATAAGGGGGCTATACAAAAACGTGGTCCTATACATACAATGTTCCGATACCGACGCTGGATGACTTACAAATGCCAATTTTTAAAAATCCATAAAAAATATGCCGAATATCATCAAAATACCGAATACCGGGAGGTACTGTTATATGGGGGCTATACCGATATATCTGATTTTCAACACCAACCATCCATATACAAATTGTTCTGCCAAATTTATTTCAACAGACAGGTGGACATCGTTAGATCGACTTAGAATTTTTTTCTTATCATGAATATATATTTACTTTATGGGGTCTGCGACGAATATTTAGGGATGTTACAAGGTGGAGGGTATAACAAAATATATTGGAGCCGAGTTCCACAAAATGGAACGTCCCGAAATTCACTCCATGTGGGCTCATATTAGCCATTATTTGAACAATAAACCTGAAGTCGGATTAAGGATGGGAGCTATATCGGTAAAATTTGGCAAAGGTATTTCCGAGCTCTATAAGATATCTGGTACCAAATAGCATTGTTGTCGAATGCATATTACGAATGTGAGGGACTTAAAGACAAAATCGGATGAAACATATATATGGGAGCTATAGCTATATCTGAACCGATTTTCACCAAATTTGATGTACTTGCTTCTAAGCTGAATACGGTCGAATGTACCAAAATTCAGGTAATTTGGTCAGGTCAAATCGATTGAAATATCCAAATCTATAGCTATATCCAAATCTGAACCAATCTCGATACAATTTGGTAGAGATATTTACGGCGGTATCTGATATCTGGTACCAAATATCATTGTTGTCGGATGGATATTACGAATGTGAAGGACTTAAACACCAAATCGGATGAAACATATATATGGGAGCTAAAGCTATATCTGAACCGATTTTCCAAAATTCAAATTTGATGTACTTGCTTCTAGGCTGAACTTGGACGGATGTACCAAAATTCAGGTCATTTGGGGTGTTACTGGCCATTTGGTGCACAATTAACCCGAAATCCGTTGAAGATATACATGGGAGCTATATCCAAATCGTAACCGATTCTCATCAATTTCAATAGGGTTCGTCCTTGGGCTAAACAAATGTTGTTTGAAAAATTTCATCTCAATCGGATAATAAATGCAACCTGAATTTTGTTCAGAAGAATACATTGACTGACGGACGGACTGACATATATAAATCGACTCAGAAAGTTATTCTATGGAGATCCTCAAAAGTATCTATGGTTTTATCTCACTTCCTTCTCCATGTTACAAACAAATGCACATAGACATAATACCCTTACCACCTTTACTATGTGGTGTAGCAATCTGACATCAAATA